TTGTATCTTTAGAGATTTTTAAGGGTGATCTGTCCTGGATATATCGAACCCTGTCCATTACCATTCAACCATTCCCATAATGGGGCTGGGCGAACTCATTATGAGTATGATTTAAAGGTCTCCATAGTGCCCCAGAATAGGATCAAAAATGAAAACAAAAACTAATTTTGGAAGAGAATTTTGTTCTTTCCAGGTGAAAATGTGTCGCGAATCAGTTTATAAACTGAACTCGATCTATCAATAAGAAAGATATTGTTCCGTTAGTACGGATCGGTTATTACCAGTGTCTCTTCTGTGGAGGCTATGGGAACGATTGACTAATTTGAAAAGGGCATTTCTCATAAAACTTTCAATAAATAATCTGCTTCGAAACAATTATCCCAGTGCAATCACTACATATAAACAATTATTTATTGTGACATTTTCACAATGCATGGCTGTAATGTTCTCCACTTCAAATTACATAATACTTTTCCTTGCCCCTGTACATCATACTTTTCCTTTAACAATAGAATCATGCCGGTCATCTAACATCTTTCAGGGAAAACGTTTTGAATTGAAATAAGATAACTTCCTGTTTGGTTCGGAAGTTCATATATAGTTAATCGGAGCCTCCTGCCCCACAGGTGTCTATATATGTTATCGTCTTTCATCTATCTAATTCCATTCTCGAAATTAAGGAAAGACAGTGGAAATTTATAGGTCTAAATTTTTTTCAAATTGAAGCCCAATCATCACTCTACGAAATTTGACGATCATATGACCGAGGTGATGAAGACGTCCACCTGCTGCTCTGAGGTTCAGGCTTTAAGTCTGAAACATCTCAGAAATTTTTATGAGTAGATTAATCCTTATAAGTCGATATTCTGATGGCCAGGCCCGCTATTAAACATGAGGCTCTCTCAGCAGAAAGAATTAGAAATAGATCGATAAAAGTTCAGTACAAGGTTTTGCGATAAATGGTTGGGTTTTCTAATGAATAGAGTACATTTTCTAAATTTAGACCCATTTAAAGCATACGAAACTGGCAAAATTTTAAAATTCATTTATATTGAAAATGTATTTGAAATTTTCGATGTAAAAACGCGTTTAAAATTTTAATGTTTTCGTTATTAATTCTCGTAATAAATTTCAAAATTTCAGATGATTTCAGCGTTTATTTCGGAATTTTTCTGAGTCATTTGAATTTAGTTTTGAAATATTCGAATCACATTTTGTTTACGATTATTAATCGCATGATATTTCTTTACATTAATTTATATTCAATAGAATATTAAAATTTTGATATTGAACGATTTATTTTTCTTTAAATTTTCAAGGAAATAAATGTCAAATATCACTTTCACAATATGCAAATGTAATGTGAGAATAAAATGCAATAAGAGCAATAGAAATGACTAGCAAACAAATCAAATTATTATATATTTGTTCATTTAAAATGAGTAAAAATCATAAAAATTAAATATTTGACTTATAAAAGACCATTATCGATTTCATAAAGAAAGACAAAATGATCAGAGAAAATTTATTATTTATTTTTTTATTGGCTCTAAGCCAGTTAGTGTGTTTTCGAATAACAAACGTCCACTTCGTTCTAATAAATTTTTGATTATATTTAACACCAGGGTTACCATTCCTTGGTTTTAATTTAAACCCAGATCTGGGTTTTTCGACCTTCTCTTGGTTTCGAGGTTGTTTTTTTCTAATTTTCATAAAATATGGGTTTTTTTAAATTGACTTTACATATACAGTAGAGTCTCGATTACCCGACATAAACGGGCAGCAAAACGCCGGATAAGAAAAATGTCAGATAATAGGGAAGAATTAAGAAAAAGTTTATTAACATCAAACTACTTCATACTTTTAAAAATTAAGCACCTAAACATTGTATTTTACAACAAATCAATAGAAAAAAAAATCAATACACAGTAATGTTATACAGCCATTTGTNGAATTAAAATGATGGCAGCTAAACATGTTGCATTTATTCTATTAATTCTTAAATGTGAATAATTATATACAGTATTTAATAAGTGTAACTTACCTACAACACAATGTTAGTGTTCTAAATTTTAAGAAATGGACTTATTGAGTCTAATACTGTATATAAATTATCTTTGGCAATTATGGATTCGGCCAGGTGGTGAGGGATATGTCGGCTTCCGTTTCCCAACATTAATTGCGGAAAACAAACTTAACAACATTAAGACCAAACAAGCTAACAGGTTAACTGTTGAATCGTTAAAGAATAGGTTGCTTGCTAAACAAGCAATCAGTAGGAAAAATCTTAGCTGTTTGCTGTATGAACCGGAACCTAAACTAATTAGAGATGCAGTACAAGGAGTTTGTCACCAAAGGTGTAAGAAGCGACAAGAAGAGCATAAAGATCGTGCAGAACTGTTAAGAAGAAGAAACAGAGTAACTGTGAAATAGCATTAACTACTGTGTAAATTAGGTAATAAATGGTTTTTTAAATTTGTATTAGTGTCTGGAATTATAACAGCATGAATGTACTACGATAAAGTATTTATAATTATATTTTAAATCACGAATTTTTCTGGGTAAATAATCTGGGTTTTTAAACTCCCCATTCAGGTTTCTTCCATCCAGACCCAGTGGCATCCCTGCTTTGCACTACGTCAATATAATGTTTGAAGTTCAGCCACATTGGATGTGAATTTTAAAATAAAAAAAGCTTTTCGTTTATTAATTACTTTCAGTTTGCTCACGTCTTTTATATAATCATAATAATTGCTATGATTATAACATTCTTTTCCCTCCTCCAAGAATTAAATGAAGTATAATGTANTGTAATTATAACAGCATGAATGTACTACGATAAAGTATTTATAATTATATTTTAAATCACGAATTTTTCTGGGTAAATAATCTGGGTTTTTAAACTCCCCATCTGGGTTTTTTTTCTATCCAGACCCAAGTTTTTTCATATGTCGCGAGTGGCATCCCTGTTTAACACCATAACATTATAAAAACACATACAAAGTTCTGTGTGCATAGAACTGCATTCGATATATATTCGTACTTGATATCTTGGGTTTTCTGTTAAGATTTAAACGCATTACTTGGCTAAAATAATTGCATTTAGCCATTAATAAACATATTTTTATTGTAATTTATTATAAGAAGTTTCTTTATTATCTTCAATCTACAAGCACATTTTTTTCTTGTTAACTATAATTTATTCTACATAGTTACTTATCAGAGTGCATTTTATGCACCTGTTTTCTTCGGTTAGTATATTTTTAAATTTAATTTATATAAATTTTAAAATAAAAAAAGCTTTTCGTTTATTAATTACTTTCAGTTTGCTCACGTCTTTTATATAATCATAATAATTGCTATGATTATAACATTCTTTTCCCTCCTCCAAGAATTAAATGAAGTATAATGTATAAATATTTAAAAGATAACAGTAATAGTCTGCAAGGGAATATTAACTTGTCTAAAACGGAACATGAAACCTGTGTAAATGGAAAAACTTCGAAATAGGGTGATTCCTGTTTACACAGGTTTTCACAGAAGGGGACTTTATCTGAAATGGTACTCTCTGTTAGTTATTTGTTTTGCTTTATTTATAAGCATAGACCTTATTTCATAGATCTTTAGTATGAGGATACCAAGGCATAAATATGGTATGGTTTCCTCAAAGTACTGTATATATTTAACACGCTTTAAAAGTTCTTTGGATCAACATGAAAATTTCTTAACTTCGCCCTTCAGCAGTTGAAGATTTAAATAGCTGTTGAGAACTGCTTTTAATAACTTCAAACTATCAAGAATGGACGGTGTCTAACAGCTAGAATAACATAGAAAAAGGTTTTGTGTTATAGATAACGTGAAAAAAGACTTTATAACCATTCTATAGCCTATTTGTCTTTAGAAATATTCGACTATCTCATGATAAAGTTTCCACGATTGCACGTTAAATTTTTATTAATGTCATTTCAGTTTGTTAAAAAAGATTTTGTTTTTAATTTTGTACTCTCTCTGTTTCCCATCATCCATGGGATGTTATTTTATATATTTATTATGGATTCAACTGGACTCACAATGGGGCAGATAGGTAATGAGGAATGGGAATACTTGTTTTAAGATATTCTTTTGCAAATAATCTGAGTTCAAATGCTCTTCAGACTCGTTATATTTTTTATGACTAATTTAGATCCGGACATGAAAAAAAAAGGCTATGAGGCAGTTAACAGGTTAAGCCCTCTCAGCTTAGTCGGCGGTACCCACACACAGCATAGTGTACAATAGGCCTACATAATGTTATTATACAGGGTGTCTGGCTTGGAAGTGTTGACATTTGTGAGAAATGTTAACATAATAGTTTTACTGATGTTAGGTCTACTAGCACATGTGCAGAATGATCAAAGTAGATGCAAGTTAATGAAGATGATACACACAATGAATGGAGTGAGTAATCTGGACATATTGCAACTTCTTCCTGGCACCATGCCCTTTAAGCACTAAGACAGCCCTTTTTCCATACCCATCATGGATTGGCCCATCCATGAAAACTTCTTGGAATTGCTTATCTGAATTTGATCTCAAGACCTCCAGTAAGCTGACATCTATCCAGCCATCTAGTAAATTCATTTTACCAACCAGCTTGAAATTATTATAATGATTATTCTATGTGTACAGATTTCAAATTTATTCTCAATTTATTTATTACTATTTTACTCTTAATAAAACAATTTTCAAAAATTGCTTAACATAAGCACTGTATAGAAATTTACAATTTGTTTATTGAAATAATCTCACAAAATATGTTTTATATTAAAACTTTTATTTAATTCAAATAGTATCAATAACAGCATCAAAATATATTTCGACAATCTATATTGGAAAATATAATACATTTATTTTTCATGCATTACACTATTGTTTTTATTCAACTATAAATATAAACAAAAATACATTTAAATTTAAATGAAAATGAGATTCTATTAATATTGTATCATGAAATGACATTTTTNAATAAAACTTGTACCACAATCTATACAATAAATTGAAAAATATTTGAAATTAAATTGTTCCCATAAATATATTGCAGCTATTTATTTTCAATTGTCATTCTGACAATAATTTTGATAAAATATTTAATTGCATTTAAAAAAAATTTTTTTAAATAATAGTCTCTCAGAGACAATTTTTAGCATTTCACCATTGACAAAAGTATTTAATACTTTCATCTAAATTCTTTCATTTTGTTTAAATTGATTATTCTATTAAATATATATATTTTTTAATTATATAAATTACAAATATAGTCATTTGACTTTATTGTTAATACTTTGTTTACTTCAATTTGTAAACTATAAATAAATGTTTCACATATATATTTTGATACTTAGCTAATCTAAAATTAATCCCGTGCATTTGCAAAATAAACTTATGCAATTATATTTTTTGCATAACAAATAATATATTTTATTTAATGTAAAAATTCAATACAAGAAATAAAAAAGTAATAAAAACTATATTGTCAATTTCCTGAATGTAAAACTAATATTTACAAAATATAAATAATTTTATATATCAGATAACAATTTAAATTGCTACCTTAATTTTTTTTTGCAGTTAATATTTACTAAAGTAGATTTTATTAAAATGCTCTAGAAGATATGAAGGCAGCCGTAATAAATTCCAGCAAGTGTTTAATAAAAATTGAAGAATTTTTTAGCCTCTTAATAGGTCTGCTTCAGAAGTTTAAGATTTATGACCCAAAGCAGGCCTATTAATGAAGCCAAAAACGTGTGTCAATTTTCGTTAAATGCTTGCTAGAATTTCTTACAATTGTCTGCTGCCTTCTAGAAATATATTTTCCAGTTTTTGAGTAAATTGTTTAGTTATTAAAATGATCAGAGAAATTTTTAAAATGTTTTGATTTATATTTTGAAAAATTATTTTAAAATATTTAATTAATCACACAGTAAACAAAGTATTAAATACAAAATATTTTTCATAAATGTAAAAAAAATATTACAAAAACTATTTAAAGAATGCACAATTATATGAATGTATTATCACAACTAGTGGCACATTTCCCAAATATGACTTCATATGACAAAAATTGTTCTGTAACTAAGTGCTTAAAGAAATAATATAAAAAATACATTTTGTTTCAAAACGTTTTGTATAAAACTATAATTAATATATTATTACAAGTACACTATTATGCAAAAAAATGAAAAAAAAAATGGAATGAGATACACCATGATTATATTACAATGATATTCTGAAATTATATATAACTTGGTTAAGCATAAAATTAAAAATGGCAGATTATTTTTATTGCATGTATCTTTTACCTGAGTAAAGGATGATATATGATTTTGTTATTAAAAAATGTTCTTATTTGCACAATTTAAAATGTCATATTATTTGTTCATGCACAACCTTTCATCTTGGTCCATTTGATTTATTTATTTATTGGACAATTTGATTAGTAAAATGTAAAATAATTTTCCAATTTACTCCAATTACTTATCTGAAACGATAATATAAAACTATAAGGCATAAAATAGTTAAGAAAATATTACAAGTAAATGTTGATGTGCTACTAAAGATGGAACAGTAGGGACATTGGTAAGAACCACAGACTTGGCATATGTTAAGTACAAATAAGCTGTACACATCCATCATAGTTTCATTAAATCGCTCTAGAAAAATAAATTACAAAATAATAATTAAATAATATACCAAATTATTTCAAAAAATCATTTATAAATATACCTTTTGAATTCTAATAAAAATTTTATCTTTTTATAATATATAAAGGTATAAATATATTTAAAATGTTATATTTTATATTTATATACAAATTAGATTTTTTAATGCTTATTGTCATATGCACTACATTATCAAAAGTATTTGGAAAGTAAACAGACTTTGCACTATTAATTTTCTGAGACAGCCTTAATGCTAATGAGTGTTTGAAATAAAAGGTCAGTATCTCAGGGAGCATTAACAGTACTGTGCACATCAAGGTGCCATAGAATGTAAACTTACACTTACAGACTTCATTGGATGAACATTGGATACTAGCTGTCATTGATGCCATTCAGTACATACATGATATTACATGTCATCTGAACATGCTGAAATCTATTATAACTGACATTACTTAAAAATGAAAGACTGATGGCACCTGTACTATGAAACTATAGATCAGAAGGCTTTTAAAATTCAGATTGAGAAAGAAAAGCTTTGTTACAACAGATAAATATTCACACACTAAGTTTCATTTGATAATATAGTGTATATGCAACAGTTGATAAATGATATAACATTTAAAAATTATCAATTTAAGTTAAATGTAATTTTATTACAATATATTCATAAACAGATATAGTTTTCTAAATTGCACTTTAAATATTGCTTAAAATGGTTGTTGAATTTTTTCAATAAAATGTAATATTTCATAATATTCATTTGGATCATAGTGTGATAAATGGATACCACATGTATCTGATCACATAAATAATCCAACTATTATGATGTATAAAATCCAACTATTTTGAATAAATAAAAATGTATATATGATATATTTTATCAGGAACATTTTAAAACTAAAATATTTGTTTAGAAAATAATTTACATTATTTCTATTGAAAATTTTTTTACTAACCAAATATCTTACTCAGCTCCTTAAATAATAAATCATCCAACATCTGATGCTGAGTAATGTTTTTGACCTAATAAGATAGGCCATCTTCAGATGCAAGTATTCTCGAATGTATTTAACTTAATATTTAAACATCAGAAGGTTCCAATACTTTTATGTTAAAATCAAAATATTGGATAAAATGACAAATAAATAATAAAATAAAACAAATATACTAAACAAACTAATACAATAATGATGTAAATAATGTACTAAAATAAAAAGTAACATATGTAAAATAAAATAAAATAAAAATGCTACTAAGTATAAGGGCAGGTGCAGGCTAAGAATTTTTTTATTTTAGTTATTTTTTTATGTAGAACTTCCATGTGGAAGCTAGTCCCTCTGCATCCCTGGTGTTAATACAACCGAAATATATAAAAGTAAATTAAAAGATGGTTGTATTATATATTTCGGTTGTATTAACACCAGGGATGCAGAGGGACTAGCTTCCACATGGAAGTTCTACATAAAAAAATAACTAAAATAAAAAATTCTTAGCCTGCACCTGCCCTTATACTTAGTAGCATTTTTATTTTATTTTATTTTACATATGTTACTTTTTANCCTTACACTTAGTGGCATTTTTGTGTATTTATTTTATTTTACATAGGTTACTTTTTATTTTAGTACATTATTTACATCGTTATTGTATTAGTTTGTTTAGTATATTTGTTTTATTTTATTATTTATTTGTCATTTTATCTAGTATTTTGATTTTAACATAAAAGTATTCGAACGTTCTGATGTTTAAATATCAAGTTAAATACATTCGAGAATACTTGCATCTGAAGATGGCCTATCTTATTAGGTCGAAAACGTTAATGTTTCTTTAAATAAATGTTTTTCTCAACATCAGGTATTGGATGATTTATAATTTTTTTTTACTTTTAAAATGTTATATACTGTACATTAGATGCATTAGTGAGCTATTAATGTTTTATTTTTTTTAATCTTCTAAGCAATTCAATTATTCTTTTTGGGCTTAATTATTTTTATTGAATAAATGACTTGCTTAGAATTTTTTGTCAAATAAATTGTATTTGTTATACCATACATGCACAATACTCAACAATATGGAAATCAAAAATTAAAATTTGGGTAACATTTTTATGCCAGTAAAAGTATTTGGTTTTGCCAAGGATAACTAAGATATATTGATATATATGAAATTTATCATTTTATATTAATATAAGTTATTAAAATAGAGGCTGATCATTTGATATTTCTAAAATATTGCAACTTTATAAGAAAACAAAATAATTATAATATAATATAACACACTGTATAATGTTTAATCATTATAATATTCTATTTAAGACTAATTAATCACCTTCAATAAAACATTATTTTGGTTTCTTATCTGACGACAATAAATTCAGATAAAACAAAAAATAGCATGCATTAAAAAAACAACTTACAAAAACTCAGATTGCATTGAATAATTTAAAAAACAGTATAGATAATTCATATACGTGCGACAGTTAGATGTGGGTCATATTAACTTACACTATCTTAAAACTAAAAAAAAATGGAAAAGTAGAAGAAATAAGGAAGGATAAGGAAAGGAATAGAAATACCCGGGATTTTCATAGCAATGTGCTTTTGGGTAGGACACAACTTCAGATCTCCCTCTTATTCGTGATACTTTTTTTGTCATAGACCTTTTGTCTATTTTTGACTTTGTTGTCTTTTTTTTATGATCTCTCGGCAACTCAGAATCTTCGATCGTCTTTCTAAAGTTCCAGAGCACTGCTTTTTTCCTGCCTACCTCTTCAGGATTCTCACCCAGACTAACTCTGTCTCTGTCCATTTGGCCCCAGGGCCTCACTCCCTCTTTTGTTCTACTTACTTTTGTGGAAACAATAATCCTACCCAAGGGCAAAAAGTGTTAGATCTTCTAGAACTTTCTTAGACCTTCTAGAACCTTTTTGTTCTAGAAGGAATTTAGAACAAACAGGAAAGAAGGCTAAGATTAATCCAAATAAAAGAAACAACTATACAATATCATGGCCGACGGCCACACAAATATAGAATGCCAGTCATTGTTTCCTTTGCAAAAAAATGGTCTGTAATCTTTGATACAGAAAGTGCACAAAAAACATTCACTTTGGGTGAATCCTGTTCATGTGCAATGCAAAAATGAATATTTTCAGAGCCTTATATGTGAAAATTATGATGGTTCACTTTGCTATTTAGACCTCATCACTGAAAATGAGTTGGGCATTAAAATCATCTGCCTCCATAGCTTCTTTCACATAAAGAGAGACATTCAGTCATTGTAGCTTATCACTAGGCTTAAGTACTTGCAAGTTATGCAATTTATAGAGCTAGTGGAACTGAGTTGAGCACCACCTGCACACAAGCAAAGAAAATTGCTTCAGGAAAACACGTGCGTCTTTGGGTTGGACACGTACCAAAACATGGTGCTTGTTTTCTTCCTGTGGTAATGAACCACAGCTTTCTGCCATACAAAACTTCAAAAAATAACTGTTGTTTAGTCAGTTGTAGTGTTACCTATATTACTGCACTACAACTGATTAAACAACAGTTATCTGCAGGTACAAAGTTAACCAGTAATGTGCAATAGTATTATTTTAAAAATCTATATTAATATCGATAATACAACATATGTATGTGCAGAATCAATACATTACGTTAAAATGATCTACAGTCACTTCTTGAGTTATGACCACCTCGACTTACAACGAAAAATTTCATTAAAAAATTTTTAAAATGTACCAATTTTTTATAGTTTTTGTCAAATATATATCATATACATCTTGCGATTGATTGCATCATCTTTAGTTTGTTCTGCAGTTAGTTAACCTTCACGTGTGCTGGTGTAAGATAGCTAACTGTTTTGTTGTTAAGTACAGTCACTTCCCAACTTACGACCATTTCGACTTACATCCGAAGTTGTGGAACCGAACCCCTTCATAAGTCGAGAAGTGATTGTATTGACTAATGCAGGCATTGCTTTGACCATAAACTGCTGAATGTATGTATATATTATATATTATTTAAATGTATACTTATAAATAATATATAAATTTATAATTTATCAAATTTCTATTTATGAAAATATATATAGTGTTACATGTAACATACAAAATTCATACAGGATAAATTCATATATTGCAAGAATGCTATTATACCTCAACAACAATCAAATGAACAAAATGTTGAAACAAAAGTAATGAACACGAAGTACTAAACTTTAAAATTATCACATTGAAAAATCACTGGTAAGATCATCATCATCGGAATCTTCTTCACTAGAATGTTTTTATATGATTGATAGCAGATGATGGTTTCCAAGTGTAACATTTTATCATTGTTGCTTTTAAGTAGCTCCTTTGCTAATAACAATGCTTCGCAGGAATCGGTAAGAACTCGATTTTGTAGTTTAGTTTTTATTAAATTTAATTGCAAAAAATATGTTCAACTGCTGCACTTGAACGAGGAAGCAATAAAAACATCTATTAACTGACAAAGTAAAGTAAAAAAAATATAGAAATATAGAATTAAAAATGAATGTTTTGAAAGGTACTAAATTGAAAGGAAAGGTATTAGGATTTCATGAATGGTACTAGGAAAATGGTGTTAGGTATCTTGGTACTGGAACAAGCATAAAGGTACTAGATTAGTACAAAAATACTAGGTCACAACACTGGTACCGACTTTGTATCCCTGATTCTGTTATCCGGCATCACCACTAGAGGCACCTCAATCTAGTTTTGCCGTTCCTTCCACTACTCTACATGGCTTGTAACAACTTTTCCTCAACACATGCCACATAGTAGGCAGAGGAATCTCCAGTTCTCAACCAGTGCAATAGGTCAATTTCTTTGGTCTGTGTATAAAAGTCTCTCTCACTCTTTCAACATTCTCTGCAGATATGCCTAGTTGCACTGGGCTTATTCATTTACAAAGACATCCTATTTCCTTGAATTGCTGATATCACCTGCAAATACTCTGAGTCATTAGTGGACTTGTTTGGTACTTTCTACAAAATTCATGCTAAACAGTGATTAACAACTGATATCATGCACATTTCAGCACACAAAACTTTCTGATTAAATACCATTTTCACTTCTCCAAAGGAATGTCTTAAATGACACACTAGCACCATCTATTGTTCATAATCTAAAACTTAGACATTTGTCCTTTACATTCATGTACAGTAGAGCCTCGATTATCCGACTCAATTGGGGACTGGGGTTGGTCGGATAATTGAAAAGTCGGATAACCGAAAAGTATGAAAAAATCCATTATTAGTGTAGTCTATTATTATATCCCATCTAATTAGTATATTAGTATATTAGTTTATCGCTATTAACCTACTTCGCGTTGAATTTTCATCAATGTTAAGCCTAACAAAAATTTTTTAAAATAATAATCGTCGCTATTGTATCGTTAAAAATTAGAAAATTAAGCCTCGTTTAAATACTGGCTCCCTATCATGGTCGATCTAGTGTTGCCAGCTAAAACACGTAAAAATAATATTAAAGTAGCCAAGACATAGCCAAATATTGTAGCGCCACATCACTAGCGGACATTTGAAATTTGCGGACTAGGACGGTCGGTTAACCATGGTGGCGGTTAATCGGGGGTCGGATAATCGAGGCTCTACTGTATTACTTATCATTGTGTTATTAATTTTTAATTTTTTAAAATATACAAATTCAAAATCAGGTGATTCTTTCTGAACGACCAGAGCTGTACCAGAAGCCCATGCCAGAATATTTAAGTCTAAAAACTCAAGTTATGTAATTTTAAGTGTACAAGGTTAGTAAGAAGAAAACTGTAATGAACTGAAAACATCAAATCAGAAGAAAGATAAAGGACCTCCCAGCCCTTCTTTGTAGTATCTAGTCCAGAGCCTATGATTGCTCTCCATTGTCCTGCATACACATGACCTAATTGTGTAGTTAAAAATATTTTTGATTCATTAAAACTTTTATTGAAATAAAGAGTTAGTTGTTACGATATCTGATATTTTTATAATTGATAAAAATCAAATTTTATCAGGAAAATCTGTCAATTCCCTTGATAAAATTAACAATCATTTAGAATAAGATGTTAAAAATACAGCTAGATTTTCCTCCCTCTCCAATTATAAGTTATTTGTTTCTGTATGTGATAATTTGATATTTTAAATGAAAATTAATTGGAAAATTTAATTTCAACTTTTAATTTCCTTTGGTATCATCAAGTATTGTACTTTAATAAATATTTATTACATTTTTCATTATATTCCATAGAGATTATTTTATTTAATTATTATTCACTTTATTTAAAGTTTAAAAATAAAATTTAGAGTTTATAATTATTTACCTGGAGCATAATAGTCATAAACTTTAGCTGATATAAAACGAGTCATATTGGCCACTGGATACCAGCGTTGTACAGTAAATGAAAGACATATGGGATTTGAATCCAGCTATAAAAATAAATTTAAGATTCAAAATATATCTCCAAATATAATTGTGTATAATATTAATCATAATAAAGATTTATAAAATTATTGATTGTTCTTAATAGAAAAAAAATATTATTCTTATTAGGGAAAATTAAATTTCTTTTTTCATTAAATTTCAATTGTTTAGAAACATTTCCATTAAATATTTACTATTTTTAAATATAAAGTATCTAATATCGGATGACTTCGTATACTCGTAATAGAAAATTCACTTCTAATATTTAAAAAAGTTTTCCAAATAGTAGAAGTGAATTTTTGCTGTTTTTTATATGCTGTTTTATGTAATATTTTTATATTACTGTTATTCATATTTGAATGCTTGCTGAAACTGTTCTGATGTAAGAACGAAAACGTTTCTATTAAAATATTTGCTTCAGTATCCTGATACTGAAGCAGATATTTTATGAGAATAAGCACTTAATTCTCATTGTCAAGATGCTAAGTTCTCATTCAGGTTTCATTTTTATTTTATTCACCTAAAAAGTCTTTTCTAGAGTTTATATCTTTATTATCTTAGTGTTTTCAGGTTTAAATGACCTATATTCGAAGACATTAATAATCAATAACTATAAAAACCATATCTCAGAATATGTCAGAAAATAACATATATATTTACAATATACCTTCTAACACAAAGAACTGTTTTTCTCTCCTTTTAAACATGTTAAATGATAGTGTAGTGATCCTTGTAGTATAATTTTACTCTTATAACTATAGAAGTTGAGTTCAGCTAACANCAATCATTTAGAATAAGATGTTAAAAATACAGCTAGATTTTCCTCCCTCTCCAATTATAAGTTATTTGTTTCTGTATGTGATAATTTGATATTTTAAATGAAAATTAATTGGAAAATTTAATTTCAACTTTTAATTTCCTTTGGTATCATCAAGTATTGTACTTTAATAAATATTTATTACATTTTTCATTATATTCCATAGAGATTATTTTATTTAATTATTATTCACTTTATTTAAAGTTTAAAAATAAAATTTAGAGTTTATAATTATTTACCTGGAGCATAATAGTCATAAACTTTAGCTGATATAAAACGAGTCATATTGGCCACTGGATACCAGCGTTGTACAGTAAATGAAAGACATATGGGATTTGAATCCAGCTATAAAAATAAATTTAAGATTCAAAATATATCTCCAAATATAATTGTGTATAATATTAATCATAATAAAGATTTATAAAATTATTGATTGTTCTTAATAGAAAAAAAATATTATTCTTATTAGGGAAAATTAAATTTCTTTTTTTCATTAAATTTCAATTGTTTAGAAACATTTCCATTAAATATTTACTATTTTTAAATATAAAGTATCTAATATCGGATGACTTCGTATACTCGTAATAGAAAATTCACTTCTAATATTTAAAAAAGTTTTCCAAATAGTAGAAGTGAATTTTTGCTGTTTTTTATATGCTGTTTTATGTAATATTTTTATATTACTGTTATTCATATTTGAATGCTTGCTGAAACTGTTCTGATGTAAGAACGAAAACGTTTCTAATAAAATATTTGCTTCAGTATCCTGATACTGAAGCAGATATTTTATGAGAATAAGCACTTAATTCTCATTGTCAAGATGCTAAGTTCTCATTCAGGTTTCATTTTTATTTTATTCACCTAAAAAGTCTTTTCTAGAGTTTATATCTTTATTATCTTAGTGTTTTCAGGTTTAAATGACCTATATTCGAAGACATTAATAATCAATAACTATAAAAACCATATCTCAGAATATGTCAGAAAATAACATATATATTTACAATATACCTTCTAACACAAAGAACTGTTTTTCTCTCCTTTTAAACATGTTAAATGATAGTGTAGTGATCCTTGTAGTATAATTTTACTCTTATAACTATAGAAGTTGAGTTCAGCTAACATTTTAGTTTAATATAAATATAGAATAATTCTAATTATTACCTGATAAACTATGCTTTGAAAACCTTAAAACTTTAAAATTTATAAACAAAATAAATATTCTTAAACTTACATAATTAAAATAAAAGGCAACTTTAGTTTCCATGAATCGAGCTTCCTTTAAGTTTCTTACTCTGTGGGATTTGACATATTTATCCAAAGTCTGCTGTTGAATAATATATCCAGTAGGTACTTGAACTTCTAGTACAGTCATTCCACTTATATAACTTTCATTGTTAATCCATCTTTAATTTAATAAATGAAAAATTTCTTAGATAAAGCAGAAATTTAAAAAATATTTTAAACAAAGAAAATTTAATATATAAATATAAATATATAATATCATAAAAATTGATTTAATTAATTTCTTCATATCATTATGAATCATAATCTTATTACCAATATCCAAATACTTTGAACCTCAAGATAATCTAAAATCTAATGATAATGATATTATGATTATTATTATATAAATTTTCTTTATTTTGATCAAGCAAAGATCTAAAAACTTAATTGTTTATATATTACAAGCTGTTATCCACAACTTTGCCTGCACAGATTTTGCAAGCAAACCCCATTTATATTCAGTATTTCAACAACCATAGTAATTGTTATATAATACCTACCCGCTGAGAATCAAACAAACTGTTTTCAATTTGATCAATTTTCTGGAACATTTACAATCATTCTATAATCGAACCAATATGCAATAACAAATTTGAATTTAAAACGGTTCAAACATTTGGTTAAAAAATCGAAATATATAAAAATATTTATAACAATGTCTGAAATGTTATCAATTTAATACACCTAAGTACTCAATGAAAACTAAACGTAATTGAAAACAAAAAATCGCATCTATAGTAGAAGTCGTTCTTCAGGTTAAGCCTTAATCCTCTCCTTCTCACCCCTGCAGGAATAATTTCCAAAAATCCCTTCTTAGTGTGAATTCTCATGGCGTACCATAACTGTATACAAAATTTCACCTCTTCTGTGGTTTGCTCTGGGCGATGATGAATCAATCAGTCAATCAGGACAAGTAATTTTATACATTTAGATAACTGTACCTAATTACAAAATTATGTAATTAGATTAATTCATAATAAGGACACTTATTCCACAAATAATCCAGTTTTTAAATTATTAGTTAGTTAAATATTGGACAAATCATATTATCTAATCATTTATAGTATCATTATTTTGACTGCCAGATAGTGGCATGATTAGAGTAGCAGTCTATCACTCTGGAAACCTGGGATTGAATATCAAAGTCCAGATCAAAGTCCAGGAATTTTTTTTGAAGGTAGTACTTCCGGATATGTTAGACCCTGTCCTCACCACCTGGCTGCCCCATTGTGGGCCTGGTCAAACACACAATGGGTTTGCATAAAAGGCCTTCTTAGTGCCCACAAAGTGGAAAGAACTTTTAAAAATATCATTATTATAAATAATTAATTTCAGACAAAATTTGTAAATTAATAAATATTTTTATGTTTTCAGAAGTACCAATTAAAAATTATTATTTTTAATAAATAAAAATATTAAATTAATAAAAACATCATATTATATTGAAAGTATAAAAATTTAAACAAAATTATTTTTCAATAATATAGTCAAATATCATTATAAACATTAAAATAAACAAATACAATGTTCAAATTATAAAATGACACATGTTGCTGTTCAAATATCATAATGAAAATATTGACAATTTATTCATGATAATAAATAATTAAATGATTATATTAGAACTTGAAAAATATGGCATCTGTTTGCTCATAATGTATAAGTTTTAGTTGATAGTAAAGAAATGTTTATACGTGTTTTATCTATTTTAATTTAAAACTTGCTAATCTTTAGTAAGTTAGTTTTCAAATTGATACAAAGTAGCTAATTATAGCAACAAATATCAAAAATAAATTTGCTATGTCTTAAATGGAGTGTAATTTTGGTATTGTATATCAATATTTAAAGTATATTAATAGCAATTATTATGTAAATTGTTTAATAAAATTATTAAAATGAATATAACAATGAGTAAAGGTTTCTTCCAATCTTTATCACATCTTTCTTAATTATCCACAATAAAAAAAAATCAAGATTAACAAATCAATTCACTTTATTTGCTTAGGTGAATAAAGTGAATTAATTTTGATAATCTTGGTTTCTGTTTATTGCCTTTTAACAATTATTATTTTTATAATTTCATTCAAATTTTAGATTAATTTTTTAAAATATTATTCTACTTATCTTACATAATTGAATAAGATAAGTAGGATAATAATATTTGTTTCTAATTATCATATCTTTAAATATCACAATCAGAACCAACCAGCAACACTAATCCAGTTATTATTTGTATTTAATAGTTAATATTCTGCTGAAAATTATTAGATAATAATTTTATTGATTAAATTGTGGCCAAATTACTACTTGATATTTTGCATTATTCACATTTTGATCTCTTCAAATATTCTGCATATCTAGTTACAATTTATAAATGCGAAAAAATGCTGTATATATGTGCATAATTCATATTTAAGATATATAAATTGCAAAAATTATTATATATAAAAATTTTAAATATTTAAATATACTGGTGTTTAAAATTAATAAAAATTTTAAATTTTCAAAAATTATACTAACTTCTGACATGAATGGAATGTAATATGAGAATTATTGCGACCATGTGAGTATGGTCGTATATTAAGAGCAAATGCTTNTATTATATATAAAAATTTTAAATATTTAAATATACTGGTGTTTAAAATTAATAAAAATTTTAAATTTTCAAAAATTATACTAACTTCTGACATGAATGGAATGTAATATGAGAATTATTGCGACCATGTGAGTATGGTCGTATATTAAGAGCAAATGCTTTAACTGGTGGCGGTGTTTGTAAATGTTGCCAATCAACATTATACTGAGATGAAAGTTGTACACAGGCTATACCAGAACCTTGAGCTTTAACAATCACTGGACCCCATGCATTTTGTATCTAAAAATTATGGCAATTTGTGGTATTATAAAACTTATGCAAAATATATTTAATTAATAATAAATAATGTAGACTATAAAAGAAAACCTGAAATTTCTGTAATTTGATTAAATTATTCTTGTTAATATGCAATGTTTTGGTAAATCCAGGTGTTGAAGGAACTTCTACTGTCACAGATACATCCATCACATCTCTAATACGTGAATTAATAGCATACTCACTTAATGCTTCAAGAGCCATTATGGTATCCTACATATTATAAATTTATTTAATTTGAAAAATCATTAAATATTATAAAACGTATTTTGTTTCATTCTATTTCAAAACTTACTTGAGTTGAAGCCCATCCACCTTCTGTCAGTCTTTGACTATTGAGCCATTCTACTATTTTTGGTTGAAGAACTCCCTGATGAAGAATGTATGTAAGTAAAGCATAAGCAGTAGTTTCCACATTGGATGCATCATAAGTATTTGGAAGTCTTGGTATTATATATGGTTTATTGTTTTCAATTACTGTTTCTATAGGAGGAACCTTTTCTTTTCCCCAATACACCATTCCATCTAAAAAATTTAAAATATCCAAAACATAAACAAGTCTTAAGAACAACATATAAGTTCATAATTGTCTGGATTGGAATAACATAAATTAAACAACTTAAATTTGTAACATATAACATATAGCAAATATGTACTGGAAGTAGAATAAGTTAAAAAATAAACTACACCAATATAAATCCAGCAAAATTTAATAAAATAATAACGTTTTCAACCGTTTATCTTAAATTTGTAATGCAAATACTTTGGTGTTTTAAGTCTTCCAATTCTAATATTCAAACAGGTGAAGACTTAAGACTGCAATTAATTCAGCTGCTTTTATGTACTATTAAAGTATCATTCTAGTACAAAACGTTTATGCACTTTAAGGTCATTATTGATATAACTCCCTCTTCAGAATGTCTGTGATTTTTATTTATTTATATTTTTTTAACACATTTAAAATTGAATAATCATGATAAATAAAAATTACTATGCTAAAAGAAAAATATCGTACCTAAAATTTGTTAACAACATATTTTAGACAATTTAATTAGAAACAAAAAATTACAAACGTTCTGAAGAGGCAATTATATCAATAGTGATCCTAAAATGCATAAACATTTTGTATCCAGAATGATATTTTAATAGTAAATAAAAACATCTGAACTAATTCCAGTCTTAAGTCTAATTCCAATATTCTGTTTGAATTAGAACCTTTAAAACACCAAAGTACTCACATTACAAATTTAACTTCTTTAATTTAACATGTAAATTGTTACCCAAATATTAAGAATTAAAAAATCAAAAATTACAAAACTGAAAGGCTACCTAGTATCCTGTCATAGGTTGATAAATTTAACAAGTCTATTAACAAAATTCATATTTTAGGAAGATTGTGGGCTTTTGTCTGTTAATAATTTCATTGTTTCTGTTAAAATAATGTATGTACAACTACATTAGAATTCTAAGTTGTGGAATGAAGTTATGCTCTCTAATTATTCAAGTATAATTCCATAGGATTTTTACATTTTGATCATATGGCCATTATGTTAATGATGTTTCAGCTGGGATTTTACCTTTACTAACAGACACATAGTGCTCATTCATTCTCTTGGAGAGGTTTCTTATGGTAGAACCTATGAAGTAGTAACTTTTTTGCTCTTTAAGAAATATACTCTTGCTCTATCTTCTATTAGTATCCTTATCCTTAACATAACAGCTGTATAACTGAAGGCATATGTTTTACCATCAACTGCTATGTGATATTCTTGGATATTGCCAAAACAACTTATGTAGGAAGCACCCAGAAACACTAATGGTGTATCTGGATGCTTCCTACATAAGTTGTTACCAAGGAAATAAGCAAGTTGGTTAGTTTTTCTGGTAAACCATGTTCAGCTGTTAAATTTCTGACATGTAATATTAGGAATATAATTTACTATGTAATGTATGTAATATTATGTAATAATGTACCATATGTTATCAACATACTTAAAAATAACTTTTAGATGTTCCTGATGGCCCTTTAAGCCATGAGACTAACATTTTTAGCACATCCAAAGTGGTGAGTCCATAGGAACTCCAGATTTCTGAATTTAAAAGTTGCCATTCCAATAATAATATAAGTTCAAGAGAAAAAGGTCAAGATGACCCAACATAATCAGATGTATTTATGTTGTAGATCCAACATATTAAATTCCTGTTGAGGGATAGAGGAGCTTCAATATTGATGGAAGGAAAAAGATAACCATAATCACAAACAGTGAAAATATCTTCACTTGTCAAAATCAGGAACTTAAGTACCTAGATGACTTCCACAGTGTTAGTTATTGTATATGATGATCTAATATTGTAAATATAATTATAACTGAACTTTAAATTTTTAAGTATCAATATGTACTTACTTTGATTTGGTGTTTGTTTTTATTTAATACAGGAAAATCAGTCTCTAAATTTAAATATTTAAATTATATATTTGGAATAGCATATGAATAAGATCTTCATTCTTTTGGAAAGAGCTGAAGTTGGTCAAAATAAAGACTGAAAATGTTTTTGAAAGATTTCTAACATTAATTAGCTGTTCTTCTTTTTTAGTTTTGTTTAATATTAATAATGGATAAATTATATAGTATCTGTTACCAACTTTAACAACAATTAATATAATGCTAGCAATTTAAACTATTTTATTCTGAGCAAATAATGATTAAAAAAATTAACATTTAGCATGTAAAGCATAAATTAAGGACTGATAGTACTGTAGAGAAAGAACTTAAAAAAGGCTATTTACCTGAAGATATTGATAATGATAATAATAAGTTAAGTTTGAAGTTATAATGTATTTTAACTTTTACATTTTGGAGTTTAGTAATTTTGACATTAACTGAATGATATATTATCCACGATTACAATAAATAGAGTCTATTGTAATATTCACATTTATTTAATTTATAAATTATATATAATAATGAATTCATATATAAAATATATGAATTCATTTTTAATATATATATAACAAATTTTTGAAGTTTATTTCAAAATACTGCCTATAAATGATCTTTATATAAAATTTTATAAAGTCTAATGTCTATTTTACTACTTACCATATTTACTCACATATAAGACAACCTCGCATATAGGACGAGGTGTAACTTTAAAGATCAAAATAAAGAAAATTTGATTTATTAATACAATTCTAATTTTATTTTGTTTAATCACAAGTAAAATATCAAATGAATGTAAATGCACACATTGCCCCACAAAAATTACTGGCATTTTAAACGTTTGCGGTAAATCAACAGTCCCCTTGTTGTTGTTAGTTAACTAACAACAACAAGAGGTCTATTGATTTACCGCAAACCAACATACTGTCCTCTTTACTTTAAACGTTAAGGAAAAATCTTGTAAAATCGACAACATAATTTGTTCATGTAAAGCTGGACAATTGGGAACCTTTTTTTTGCCAATTTGTAACAGTCAAATTCACTCTCCATCGATTACACTTAAGAGTTTCTCTGAATTCTGATTTCCGAATAATCATGTTTTCATGTGGGAATGGATTAAAATTTATATCATTCCCCTATGTGATTTTGGAATTTCAATCTGGAATTCCATTCAAAGGCTTTGCTTTTCCTATTACTATTCATCTTTATTCTTGACAATATACAAGAAAGATTGAAATGACCCAGATAATATACTTATGTTTTTAAATACAAGAGGGTGAGTATCCGGTAAAAAAATGCGAATATATGATTCACAAAAATTATTTGCAAAAACACAAAGAATCTTTCACTCGTGCATATAGGACAACCTAGGAATTTGAACCTGTGATAAATGAATAAAAACCTCGTCTTATGTGCAAGTAAATACAGTATATTAGTGAATTTTCCAAAAAATAATAGGAAAAAACCCACTAAAATTTTTTATCATTTTAGTTGCTTTATAAATGAAAAATACATGAAAAATAAAAATTTATGTTATGAAAATAGTTGTTGAGATTTCAGAAAATTTATTTTGAAATGAGCTGAATAACAATAATTTTGAGAATTGTGTGTATTTTGCCAACTTGTTTATTATAGTGATACATTGAATAAATCATTGAAAATAAATTTAATACATAGCAAAATTATTTTAATATTAAAATAAGTTTTTCTATATTATAATAAATATTGTACTGTAATTCAACACTAAAAGAAGAAATTATTATATTTTCTATTTCTAGTTTACATGAAAGAAATTATCATATAAATTATAACTATCATTTAGTTTCATTTAAAATTATTATTTCTTTTTTATTTTTTGTTGCTTTCATGTAATTATGATACTACATGATTCATAGTTATTAATAATTGACAATACATAAAATTATTATTATTATTAATTAAAATAATTGAAAAACAACTGATTAATAAACAAATAGCTTTCAAATACAAATAAATTAAAGTAAGTGTCATTATTTTGTTAAAAAAATTATTTCCAATATTTATTTCTTTTAATACTTACTCATTTCTCTACTTTTACTGTTAAGTAGATTAAATGCTTCTTGTCCATCTGCACTATTAGCTATAGTTAAAGCATAACTTACAATAGCTAATTCATAAGGATCATCAAATTGTTTAACTATGTTTAGATTAGTTTCCAAGTAGCGCACAGCTCTTAGAAGTGCACTTGCTATTTTCACTCTGACATCCTACAATATTTTAAAAATTAATGTATATAATTTATTAAATTCTGATTGTTAAAAATTCAGAAAAGTAATATGTCATTTTTATTTATTCAATATATAATCAAATAAAATTAAATTTGTTTATTGAAATGTAAAATTGTAAAGTCACATTTTTAAAAACAATTTTAATTTTGTTTTTAATTCAGATATTTTATCTCCCTTTTTTTGTAAACTATCATGAAGTCCAAAACTATAATCGTTATTACATGACATCATTTGCCTGAAAACAGATTTTAAATCAGAACGCTAATGTAACTAAATAACATCAATATTTACAGAAATTTTTTTAAAAATAATTATTATTGAAATTATATAGAAAATATTTAATATAAAAACTATAACTTACATCTTGAATATGTTTCACTTCCACAAGAGCAATTACAACATGTGCAGTAAGTGAAATATTTCGAAATTTAACTCTATCGTAAGGAAATTCAGACTAAAAGGTTAAAATTTTTAAATTACCAATTTTATAGAAAAAGCAAATATATGTATGTAAGTAAAATTGTCACACAAAATAATATATGTTAAACATGTTTAAAAATTAAGAACAAAGTATATAAAGAATTATAAAATATAGCACCTCAACCAAAAGAATCTTTATCAAGAAAATATTATATTTTAATATTCAATTTAAACTATGAAATTTGCATTAAAAATTTTAAATTAAATAATGGTTTTAGTAATTAAATCTATCATATTAGAAGTATATACATAGTTATTTTATATAGATACACAAATAAACTTTTAAAATAATTGTTAAACAAATACAATGACTTTGATTATAAATGATTATAAAACAATTCTAATATAGTCAATAATATAAAATTTTAAGTTTCTTATTTTTAAGTTTCTTAGGAAAATCATAAGCTAAATATTATTTCTTATTACTTTTCTAACTGGATGTTATAATACATATATTAGACACACATTCTTCACATTATGACTTTTTTTTATCATTATTGTTATTTCTGTTTTTAAAACAGAATTAATAATAAGGATAAAAAAATCATTCAGACTTATTTTGAATTAACTCATATATTTATATCCTTGAAAAAAGATTTGGATGTAATTAGGGTTGGCTCAATGGATGAGGCAATGAAACAACTGCTTCAAGCAGTAAAATGAATGATCAAATGCTCAAAAGGAGATAAAATAAATAAAAATAATAAGCTGAGTACAGTGAAGTTCCATAAATATACTTTACAGTTGTTTATAAATAGTTTATACAAGAGCTATAAATGATCTCTGCTGGCAACTGGTGACAAAAATCAGTTTCTCTTAAGGTGTAAGTTACCATTAGATATAATCTTTATTGGATTAGATTTTTGTAATTTTCTAATTTTGCCTTCATAATGTACTGTAATTAATAATTTATTAATTTAAGATATTTATATTAATAAAGAATAAATGAAATTTAGCTCCTGAAAGTATTATCCTGATGATAAACTTATTTTTTTAATATTCACTATATCTACATTATATCGTCAAAGTTCTATTGTGAATTTCATATATCAATTGTTATAATTATAATAAAGACTGCTATAATTTTCATGATCTTGCAGTGTTGTTTATATATGTAATTTTTTAAAATTTAAAATAACTAAAGATAAAACCTAAAATTACCAAAAATACATATTTTAGAATTTATTTTAAAATTACTGAAATGTCTCAAACTGTATAATAGTTTCTCAACAAAGTTTCATACTATGAAAAAAAATCTCTGTTCAAGAATATATGTTTATGAAGTTTATGAAAATTTAGTTAATGTATCTATCATATAAAACTGGAAAAGCAAATACTAATAAAATATGTGTTAATCATTTAATTCTGAATTGCAAATTATGAAATTTATAAATAAAAACAAATTGAATTTCTCCATTAAACAGCTTTTACTTTTTCTGGATAAGAATTATTTAATAAAAGAGAATGCTCTATTATTTAATTATTAAGATAATTTTTGTACAACTTACACTTAAGTTCATTTTTCTATCTAGTGGATATAATGATACTTCATAAAAAGAACCTTCCTTTGTCTGGTAATTTAAAATCCATTCTGCAGCACGAGATATAACACTTGGATCAATATATAAGAAATTTTCCCATTCTTGATAGGTTGCTTTTTGAAACATTTTAATGCAGAAAGCTGTCAGCCTGTAAATCCAACATAGAAATTTTGAAATCTGTCTGGAAAAAATTTATCTGATAATATATATTTTTCACTTTACCACACACTTGGCTCCTTATTTTCACGAAAAGCAGTAAATGCACCATTACTTAATTGATAACTTAGCTGCTGTTGATAACCTAAATACCAAATAATTCATTTGAACAAAAGTATTTTAGTTTTATAATTATAATTTTAAAAATTACATTATTTTTAACCTCTATTTAAATAGTAGAATGCTTCTTTTTCAATTTCTGGTTGCTTTTGTCCAGTTAATCGAAGATATTTTAACATTAATAGATTAGCAGCAAAATTGAACATGGTTTGCTCTCCACACCATGATGGTTTTCTTAAGAGTACACTGGCGTTAACAGGCATAGTATGGAATAATGGACCTACTACATCGCCTAAAAATAAAAATCAACTTTATCAATTTGAAATTTTTAATGTAGTAAAAATAAGGTAGAAAAAATTCTTATTAGAAGATATAAAAATCTTGACATATTTCTGACTTTGTAAAAAATCAATAAGAAGAAAAATCCAGTTTATAATATAATTAATTTAATATTTATACATAATTTAGAATATTCTGGAAGAAAAGAATTGGTCTGGAGTGGGACTCAAACCTGCAACTTATTTAGAAATTAATTTAAAATAATCACAAAGAAGTAACCCGATTTAATATGCCAGTCATTTGGCATATTATTAATTTAAAATTTATTGGGTTTTGAGATGTTTGTATATGTTTATAATAAAAATTCAAATTTCATAAAAATCTTACAGCTACAACTAAAGCTGATGAGATATCTGTCTAGAACAATTTTTGAAAAAAAAGGAAATAATGCTATTCCATGAACAAAGAAAAGAAATAAATACAGTATATTAAAAAGTTTGAATTTTTTTCAAGTAACTTCCATTCATGAATAAAAGAAAGATTCTTCATAATACTTACAAAGTCCAAGAAGGAATTTCTGTTCTCCAGAAATCTCAATGCATTACTTCTAACAACTTTATTCATATTTTCAATTAAACTTTGAATACAATTAAAATCACAAGTTAATATTATTATTCACTATATGTCATTTCTAGATTTAACCTTCCACTATCAGTGATTTAATTCTCATACTGTGGGTTAAAAAATATGCTGATTAGATTTGTCTTAATAAATAAAAAACTGGATATGTCTGTTATTTCTGTTTTCACATGTTGAAAGTAGTCACAAATATTGAAAACAACTAAATCGTTGTTGAGCCTTTAAAATATATTTTCATCTTTTCTTGAAATTCATACTAGTTTTAAATGTTTTTTCAATCTTTCCTGTATTTTAATTATTGTAATTTTTAAATTTTTGTAAAAAAAAAATAATTTATTATTTGATATTACAGTGGGATAAATATATTCTCCAACTATTACATTCTATACTCTGCCAACTATTTTATTTCCATTTGTTATTGTTATTTTAATTTATTTTTACTTTCCAATAATTTAATTTCTATTTTTACATTTCATAACTAGTTCTGACAAAACCTCTTCTTTGAAATATATACATTAGCCATTAGTTTATTAATAATTTAAATATTGAAATCATTCATTTACATATTGTATCTGTAATGTATTCAGACAAACTAAAGATCTTCAGACAGTTCTAGACTTTCAGTGCTAAGACTTTGTAATTTAGTATTATAATGAGTTGGTACAGGAAAGTAATTCTTAATCTAAAGTTATAAAATTAAAATCTCAAATTTTTCTCTATTCAATATGATTCAACTAAAAATGTATTCTCTATTTGAAATTTTATTGGCAACTAAAGCATTAAGGGCCTAGAAAAATAACATAATTATGGCTATTCTGAAATGGACAAAATTTTATTGATGCCTATAGCAGAAATGCAGATAAGCCATCAAATTGGTATTGGTCTAAACCTTAAAAAAAAAAAAAGGCTAGCATTGATCCACTAACACCTTCGTTTTGTTCTAAGTCTTGAAGATTATAAAAATTCCTTCTGAGCTGCTCAAAATTCCTGTCAAACTACAGAACCCAAGACAATTTTCATTCAAAACCCATAAAGAGAGAACTTTCATAAAAATATATTTTATATATTCACATAGTAGTTTTAGTCTTATCATATGAAATAAGAATATTAATAAAGTTCTATATAAATAATTATATCTTAGTATATAATAGTGTATCTAACCAATGGCAAAATTTAAGAGTATATTTTAATGTTAGATTAACTATTTTAGGGAAAATTTATCTGCAGAACATTATAAATGTTATGATTAAATCATAAAACTTTTCAATGAGATATGAGACATTCTAAAAACAAATAGCATATAAGTTCATTATTTTAATATTTCATATTTTCATTTAATCTTATTATTTTGTTGTAGAATTAATACTTTATATTTACAATTATTACATTAAGATATATTTCTTACTTACCAACAACAGATATTGAAGCTTGATTTGAACCAAATATATATAATCTATCTGCCTGATATGGAACAATTGGTGTCTCTGTAATATTAGTATCTAAATATTTCAGTAAATATGCACCCTGTGACAAATCTAATAATAGTGAAGTATGCCGATACTGTGTTATACCATCAGCCTAAAAATTAGAAGAAAAGCGTAAATAAATAATTTATATAATGCAATAACAAAAATGTTTAAAAATAATAAAAATCTAGTCATTTACTATAATAAATAATACACTAATTAATTTATAAAATGAAAAAGTTTAACATCTATATAAAGATTACTATTGTTTTAACATGTTTTGAATACCATATCAGTCCAAATTAGACTTAAAGTTAGACAAGCTTATTAGACAGCCAATTAGACAAGCTATGTCATTTATAGTATTATATCAGGACTTTTTTAATATGTATACTTTTAAGAAATTAATGAAACACTTACTTCTACATGTAGTTTCCTAGTTATAGAATCTCTAGCAACTTGAGTTTTAGCAGTAATGGTAACATTGATATCACCAAGTTTTGTAGGAACAATTGGCATATAAACAATGGCAGTCTTTCCAGGTTTAATCTTTACAAATAAAAATTCAAAGAATTATTTTTTGTAATATATATTATTTTCATCTAAGTGATAAATTTATTTAAAATAAAAACAATTTTTATATTAAAATATTCATTATAGAATAAAAAAACTGCCAACAAAATAAGAAAATTATTATTTCGGCATCCTAATAGTGCTGTTTTTTCTCAAACTTATCACGACAACTTCTGTATGTTATTTTTGTATGTTATAACTCTCTTTTCTTTTAATTCTTTTTTAAAAAGAATAAAAAAAGTGTTATAACATACAGAAGTCATAGTGCTGTTTTTTCCCAAACTTATCACAATTAGGCTGCTGAAATAATAACTTAATACAAATCCAAACAAGAAGCTAAATAAAGAAAGTAAGAAAAAAAACTAAGGAACTTTCAGTTTATTAAATAATGAACCATCTTAAATTCAACAAATTCATAATTTGATTANGTAAAGGCTCTATGCCTTCATAAAGGACGTACTTTTTCTTTGTTTAAGGGTATTTGGGCAGTTTATTCTCTGTTGTATTCTCAAGTAAACAATACATACAAGTACAGTACAGTATTTTCTGAGGAAACACTCATACTTATTTTTTTTAAACTCCATTCCCGATAACCTGGCATTTTCACAAACTCGGCCACCCTTCGGTCCACATTAGGCCGAGTTTTCGAGACTCTACTGTGCTGCATAATTAATACAGCAGTTTTAAAATTTAAAAATCACAATTAATACTGTTGTATGCTTGTATATTTTGTGCACTATAATTTTGGGGAAATTTTGTGTATGTTTGAGTGAAATTATGGATCCTAAAAATATTTTGCACCCCTTTTCATGAGTTTCAATGTACCACAATAGTTCCTGCTGCCTGCATACAGCTACATTTGGTTAGCCATACTGTCAGAAAACAAAATCAACAAGGCAACCACAGAAACAAATTCCCTGACTTTCCATGACCTTTTTTCCAAACACTAATGAAAATCTGACTTTCCAATTTTCCAGGTGTGTAGAAACCCTGTAGATAATAGGAAAACTGGCATGTATACAGTCGACCCCCCTATAAGATATAGATACATTCCAATTTATTAGGAATCCGATTTCTTACAAGTCGTTCCAATCGAAACAAAAAACAAGTTTAAGAAGTTGTTTTTTGGTTTTTTTCTATGATTTTAAGTTGACAAGATTATTTATTAGTTAAATAATTAAAGTAGTTCACTTTATATTACTTTGTTTTTAAGAAAGACCTATATTAGCACCTGTTTTTGCTAACTAAAAGAAATCCAAAGATGATTTTCACCTTTCTGAAAAAAAAAGCAAAAAGTAAAAATAGCATTTAGCATTTGTTTTCAAGAGAGCTGTTTTAGAGGCATTGCGAAATTGAGCAACAAACAGTGAGAGACATCTCCAAGCACTTCCCTTGGAAACGATTTCAGTGTTAAGCCACCTTGTAAGCAGCTATGTCTTATGTCATTTTATTTTGTGCATCTGTTAGCAAAAATAAAATGATAAAATATAAAATCTCTTACTCGAGTGGATTGATGGGTGTACAAAGCATGATATTCCATTATCTTATCTTTAATTAAGAAGAAATCAGCCAGTCTTTTCAATAAGCTGAACAGAAATAATAGATTTTCAATACTTTTATCTCCATCATGCTGATAAAAGTATTGTGAAAATGGAATTTAAAAATAGTCAAGTATGGTTTGATTAGTTTTTGAGATGAGGACAGTTTCATAATTTAAGGCTTACTTACTGGAGAGGGTTTTCATTTTATTACTGGAGGGGGTTCTCATTTTTGTGTTATTTGGTATGATTTAATAAGTTAATTTTCAGACTTGGAATGCTCCCATATAAATTAATGGTAATTGTTCTTTGCTTTACATAATTTTGACTAATGAAAGGTTTTACAGAAATGCTGCTTTTAGATACAGGGTTCCTACTCAAATTTTTGTTTTTTTTGTTTTAAATTCCATTACTTTTCCTGACTTTCCATGACCAACTTTGTACAAATTTCCTGACCATAACATCCTTTACAGTACATTGACAAAATAAAATATCACTTGACTTACTATGTACATACACTATTGCTATTTCAACTTTTTAACTGGTTATTTTTTCNTATATTCTTAAATTTCAAGACAGAAATTTAAGAATATAGAGATCAGAAAAAGTTTTAAAAAATTTTTTTGATTAGTTCTTTTTCTATAATATAATTTGAAATTCTATAAATGACAATTTAGTAATAAAATCTAATAATAAAAAAGATATTTGGATAAAAATAGGAATATTTAAGTTAAGAGAAACATATAAACTGTGAGAAATATATTATTTAGGTTTTAAAAAGTTAAGTCATATTTTTATATTTTATAAACTGCAATTTAATATTTTATTGTAGTCCAATAGATAATCTAGCAATTCATTTAGCAATTCAAATTACATAGGGTTGTTTATGTTATTATATGAATATCTTAAATTTTAGTATATTATATGCCACATTTCTCATCTATTTTTACATTATATTAAGACTTCAAATTTGATATATTAACTAATGATATATTTAATTAAAATATACTATAAATAAATTATATCTCTTAATTATAGGTTTGCTACATTCTTACATGTTTTAACTAAATAATCCTATATTTATAGGAATAATATTTCATTCAGCAAGTAAAATATCCAAAGGTTAAAATGTACAATTTATTCAATTCTTCCTTCTATATATGCATTTTGAGTTGACGTGAACTCTCAACCCTCTTCAGTGCTATATAATTTGTATGTATTCATAAAGAAACAACCACAGGTGGAGATTCAAATACAAGTGCATATCCAGTGTTTATGATTTTATTCATTTCTTAATCCCATTACATTACATCTTATAAAATTTAATAATTTTTTTCCCTTATAATCTTTGTTTGTTTATATAATATGAAGGCAGCCGGTCACTTATTAACATTTAAAAACTTTAAAAAGTTCACAAAAATAAAGGCAAATCATTAATCACCTTGCAGATTTCTAGAATTACTACATTACTTCACAATTCATATTGAATAATAATTGGATGATATATAATTTATAATTTATATCATCCAATCATTTATATATACAGTTTTAAAACATATATATCAAGTTTTTCCAAGTCATTAAAATATATTTATCGTGTATCCATATGTAAAATATTGGTATGATTCCATAAAACTTAAGAGATAATAAATAACATCATCTACACATTTTGTATTTATAAATCAAAATAGTAAGAAAAATAATGACATATTTTTACAAGATGAGAATACAGTCTGAAACTAATGGGATATTTTTTTCTTATTACAGTGATGGTGCTGAGTGAGGAAGACTGGGTGGAGATGATTCTCCTTTAAAAAGTTCCACTATAAAAGCTACAAAATTTCCATTATTTGAATGAAAGAGTATACAGTGCAAATCAGAAATCTGTATCATCTTCAGAAGCTTGACAAACTCTCTATTACACCAAACCAGCAAAAAACTCTAACAGTTAACTAGTAGAATTTAGTTACAGTTAGTAGAACTTAAGCATCCTTGGATTTAAAAATGCTGCACAGAATTCAGGAAAACCTAGTTAAACATCTCCAGCAATGTTTAGACAATAAGGGTGAACTTATTGAACACATTTTGTAAAGGTATTATTCATTAATTAATATTAGTGTTAATGTGTTCCTGTTCATTTTTTCTTTTGGTTTTGGACTTTATGCACATCCTGTATATATTTTATTTCAGACATAAAATGTATTTAGTTATACTGTGTTTAGTTTTCTCTAAGTATTGCATTATATCATATAAAGTTATTTATAATATTTTATGTCATGCCTACTGTCACAATTATAGATTCATTCTGTAAAATGAAAATAATAATCAAGAGAGCAGGTTAATTTTATTTTATCAGTTCTATCAAACAGCAAACAAAACAATGCTAGTCAATTAGAAAAACAAAATTTAAAAATATTCAATTAGCTTTAACTATATTATCAAAAAATAAAATCAAATTACTTTTAATAATTTAACTAAGATTAACATCACAAAAATTATTATAAACGTCTACATTCGCGTAATAATAAGTTTCATAAAATATTAAATTTATATCTGAAAAGATGTGAAAGTTAAATTNGGGGTCGACTGTATGTTCTTTTATAAACTTACTTTTAGAAATACAAAATATTAAATAAACAAATGAAATATATTTATGATAATTTTCTTTTAGCGAAGAATCAACAAACTTGCAGAATGAGAAAGCGTTTATCAAAATTCGACTCTTTCAGAATTCGTTTATCATAAATACATAGTCGAATTTATGATAATTATCTAGGGCAAGTAATTATATTCCATTTTAACAATAAAACATATTATTATAGTTATTATTAAATAAAATTAATTATAAAATTTAACTTTAAGAACAAAATCCATTAGAATTATCTAATGACACTAAATTTAAAATATATTACAGCCTATGTATAGTGAAAAAGATATTTACAAATATTAAATGTTGATGTTCTCCAAATGATGTTCTTGGACTATATGATGACACATAACCAAATGGTCCGACATGGACAAATTTATAATCTAAAGAATTCTCAAGAATTACTAAAACCTATCACAAATAAAATATAAAAGTTTGTAAGTTAGTTAGAAATTACATTATCTTATTTATTTTAATTTTCAATTACCTCAATCTCTACCATCAGGTAATTAAATATACTTATTCTTATTCCAATTTGTTCTCCTTGTCTACTTTGATTTGGCATTTCTACTGTCATATAGAAAGGCTTTATGCTGTAAAACTGTAAAAGATAAGAGATTATTTTCATAATTATAGAAATAATGGTAATTAAAAATAACATCTTACCTCAATTGGTTTTTTTAAGATACCAAACCCTTCATTATTATTTACTCCAAATGCAGTAATTATCCATTGAACAGGAAGTTGAGGGACAGGAATATTGAATATATAGTGTCCAAGTGGTCTAAAATAAAGTATAAATTCATTAAAATTTTAAAGATACTAATTTTAACGTAAATTATAAAAATTTAATTTTTAAATTTCTGTTTTATATTTTCAAATAGCCAAAGAATGATGTTTTGCATTAAAAACTTTTTCTGATCTCTTTATATTCTTAAATTTCAAGACAGAAATTTAAGAATATAGAGATCAGAAAAAGTTTTAAAAAATTTTTTTGATTAGTTCTTTTTCTATAATATAATTTGAAATTCTATAAATGACAATTTAGTAATAAAATCTAATAATAAAAAAGATATTTGGATAAAAATAGGAATATTTAAGTTAAGAGAAACATATAAACTGTGAGAAATATATTATTTAGGTTTTAAAAAGTTAAGTCATATTTTTATATTTTATAAACTGCAATTTAATATTTTATTGTAGTCCAATAGATAATCTAGCAATTCATTTAGCAATTCAAATTACATAGGGTTGTTTATGTTATTATATGAATATCTTAAATTTTAGTATATTATATGCCACATTTCTCATCTATTTTTACATTATATTAAGACTTCAAATTTGATATATTAACTAATGATATATTTAATTAAAATATACTATAAATAAATTATATCTCTTAATTATAGGTTTGCTACATTCTTACATGTTTTAACTAAATAATCCTATATTTATAGGAATAATATTTCATTCAGCAAGTAAAATATCCAAAGGTTAAAATGTACAATTTATTCAATTCTTCCTTCTATATATGCATTTTGAGTTGACGTGAACTCTCAACCCTCTTCAGTGCTATATAATTTGTATGTATTCATAAAGAAACAACCACAGGTGGAGATTCAAATACAAGTGCATATCCAGTGTTTATGATTTTATTCATTTCTTAATCCCATTACATTACATCTTATAAAATTTAATAATTTTTTTCCCTTATAATCTTTGTTTGTTTATATAATATGAAGGCAGCCGGTCACTTATTAACATTTAAAAACTTTAAAAAGTTCACAAAAATAAAGGCAAATCATTAATCACCTTGCAGATTTCTAGAATTACTACATTACTTCACAATTCATATTGAATAATAATTGGATGATATATAATTTATAATTTATATCATCCAATCATTTATATATACAGTTTTAAAACATATATATCAAGTTTTTCCAAGTCATTAAAATATATTTATCGTGTATCCATATGTAAAATATTGGTATGATTCCATAAAACTTAAGAGATAATAAATAACATCATCTACACATTTTGTATTTATAAATCAAAATAGTAAGAAAAATAATGACATATTTTTACAAGATGAGAATACAGTCTGAAACTAATGGGATATTTTTTTCTTATTACAGTGATGGTGCTGAGTGAGGAAGACTGGGTGGAGATGATTCTCCTTTAAAAAGTTCCACTATAAAAGCTACAAAATTTCCATTATTTGAATGAAAGAGTATACAGTGCAAATCAGAAATCTGTATCATCTTCAGAAGCTTGACAAACTCTCTATTACACCAAACCAGCAAAAAACTCTAACAGTTAACTAGTAGAATTTAGTTACAGTTAGTAGAACTTAAGCATCCTTGGATTTAAAAATGCTGCACAGAATTCAGGAAAACCTAGTTAAACATCTCCAGCAATGTTTAGACAATAAGGGTGAACTTATTGAACACATTTTGTAAAGGTATTATTCATTAATTAATATTAGTGTTAATGTGTTCCTGTTCATTTTTTCTTTTGGTTTTGGACTTTATGCACATCCTGTATATATTTTATTTCAGACATAAAATGTATTTAGTTATACTGTGTTTAGTTTTCTCTAAGTATTGCATTATATCATATAAAGTTATTTATAATATTTTATGTCATGCCTACTGTCACAATTATAGATTCATTCTGTAAAATGAAAATAATAATCAAGAGAGCAGGTTAATTTTATTTTATCAGTTCTATCAAACAGCAAACAAAACAATGCTAGTCAATTAGAAAAACAAAATTTAAAAATATTCAATTAGCTTTAACTATATTATCAAAAAATAAAATCAAATTACTTTTAATAATCAATAAAAAAATAATATAAATAAACTAACCCTATGTTAATGTTTTCCCATAACCATGAATTATCATAGTGTCTTTGGATATGATTCAGACGATACATGCGAAAATTTGAAAACTTCAAATCAGTTTCTTGTGTACCTAATAAAAATATAAATAAGTTATTAGAATAAGTGAAAATTAATTAATTTCTAATAAATAAATTTTCAGCTATANCGGGCCAGTTCTTTTATTCCAGAAGATTCTAAATTTATTTATTGATTTATTTATTTAATTATTAATTTACTTAAGAGATGGCGCCTAACGTCTACCTCTAGTGTCAAATTACTTTATTCCAATCATTTAATTAGCCGTATTATAGCCCGATATTTAGGCGATCGTTTGGTGATGTATTTACTACTCGGGCTATGAGTTGTTGATATTTATAGATAATATAACTACTGTTATATGAGAATCTCAGAGCTAGAATGATCCAAATCCAATTTTAGTGTTAAAGCCTTAGTATATGGAATTTGCTTAAAAGTAATTATTTTATCTAACACAAAACAGATCAAAGTAGAATTTGTTACAAATTCCACTTGTAGCCCAGGCCAAAAAAGAAAATATGGGAAATATGTAAAAGTTTTCATTAATTATCTTATAATTAGAATTTACTGATATAGAGCAAGTGATGAGATCGTCGTATATTCTGTTGTACTGTTTTGGCCTGTATCTAATAAATTCATTGTCCATGGGAAAAAGAGTTGGAAAAACAAACAGCAATAAAAGTTGTCATTGTAAACTCAGCTTGTTTTGTACACTCCTCTTAGGGTTGCATATCAATGCAGACAAATTTGAGGCAGAAAAGGAAGAAAAACATAGTATCAGAAATAAAATAAACTGAAAGCAGAAAGTTAACAAATAAATGTGAAAAGTGGTGACAAATTTACATCATCTTTCCATATTTGCAAGGCTGTGATCTGGCAGAGATGGACAAGACGGCAGAAAGATTAAAATATAACTTAAAGCCCACAAACAGCATAAAGAAAATTGTAGAATACAGATAGTGTTGTTTCTACATCGCTGTAGTAAATGAACTGAAGAGATTCTAAGATACTCTTCAACCACAACCCCAAATTATAGAAAGCCCAGAGACTGGGATAAATTGAGGTGAGCTAACATTAGTATTATATAAAATAAATGACCACTTACAACAGCGATTCCCAACCTGTGGTATGCGTACCCCTAGGGGTACGCGATAGGTTGTTTAGGGGTACAGAAAAAAGTTAGTTATTATGGCAGAAAAAATAATATATTATGTATCACAAACTAATAGTATTAAAAAATTATTAGATAAAAAATGTTCCTTGCAACAATCACAACTTTATTATACATTTTTTCTTTTAGGTTTTTTTTCTTTAATTTAAAGTTACAATATGTAAGTAAAATTAACAATACGGTTACTCACTAAATTTCTTAAATGAGGGGTACAATCTAGAGATATGACATGTCACGGGGTACAATCTAGAGATATGACATGTCACGGGGTACAATCTAGAGATATGACATGTCACGGGGTACGCTAATGAATAAAGGTACCACTGACTTACAAGAACAAAATTTATGCTAGGTTTATATTCTTTGAATTTTATCAAAAACAAGATTACAAACCTTCAAACAACTTTAACTGAAACCAAACAACCAGCAAATGAAATGAATGAAAATTTAGTACAATAATAATAGAATGGTATAAATAGAATGATATTGAATGACATAAAATTGAGTAAAATTCATCATTATTCAAATATACTACATATGTAGCATTATAAATTATGTAGCATATCTTGATTATATGTACTATATTTTCATGCATATAACCTACAGAAAATTGCTAGAACAAAAATAAAACCTTTGCATAACCCATCTCACTGTATTTCCTGCATCAATAGGAGTAGCTATTACTTCATAGGTGTGAGTTCATAATTGTAATTTAAAATCAACATATAGCCTGCAACATTTTGAATACAGATAAGCAAGCCATAGATTATATGCTCAAAACTATGGTAAATATTCCAAATTAATTCCAAAATAAATTCAGAATGAAAGTAGATATGAAATTTAAAAACTAGATTAATTTTCCTATTAATAAATTACAAAAGTAATATAAAATTAAATACAGCTATGACAGATAAAAATACATTAGATTAAAGGGAAGTTATAAATGTATTAATATTTGAAGGAAGTGAAAAACCAAAATATATACATTCTTCCTTTAAAAGTAAAATTGAGGATTTTATTCATTTAATATAATAATATCTTTTGAAATATTAAGATTTTAAAAAGATATTTAATTTTTTATTTGTTAAAACATTTTCAGATTATTCTTTTTTAACTCTAATTTCAGATAATTTTACTTACATGAATTCTCATCTAAACCATCTTTGCAATCTTTACGACCATCACATCTTTGTTCAAATCTGTAACAAGTGCCATCTAAACAAGAAGCATATCCCAATGTAGCATTGCAGTTATCTAAAATAAATAAATCCTGAATTCAATCAATCAACTTTTATTGTATAAGAATTAATTTTCCATTACTTGGAGAATAAAATACAACAATAAATACTAAATTAAAAACAATGATAATATAATAATGAATCCTTATGTCCTTAATGTGGTACTAACAAAGATCTATTATTGACTCACTAATTTGCTTCTTGCTCAACCCCAGCCCATCTCAAAGATTAGATATTAAGTATTCATTTCAATTAATGCCAAATAACAGAAAACTCTGACTAAATTATTGTTATTTAAAATTTGCCAATTTTTTTTTATCAATCCTTAACAAATTTCAGTCAAAAAGAAACCAGAATTATTTTGTTAAAAATAAAGCATTCATACTGGAAAAACAAAATTTGATAAGTATGTAAGAGCATTGGCTACAAATATTTGCATATAGTAGCATCACTGCTACTTCATAGCAGTGTGGATAACCTACTCCAGAAAATAGTGTCTACAGTGAGAGACCAACTAAGGAGAGACAGCATTCACTATTGAATTTCTGACTTTTAAAAGAGTTAAACCCAGTGAAATTCTTGTATAAACAGTAACCAATCATCATTGACCAGTTACTGTTTATACAAGAATGCATTGTCAAAAATATAAGTCTTCTAGTGAGCCAAGAGGTTTCATATAGAACAACAATCAGTACTGGACAACTTGCATAGTGGCAGACCAAGTTGGCCATAACTGACATTAACATTGCTGCTGCAAATGTCTTGATTCAGAGTAACTGATCCATCACTATCAATGAAGTTGCCAACTGTTTGCAGATTAGCAATGTGAGCCATGGCTAATCTGCAACAGTTGGGTATTCAATAATGCATGACACAGGTGTGCAAGCAGCCATGCTATTTTATAAAAAGGGAATAAAAGATCTTGTGAAGCAGTGAAAATGACTTAACCATGGAGGATATATTTCAAAAAATATTAAGTGATTTGCTTAAAAAAATAATTCCAGTTTCTTTTTGACTGAACAAGTATTAATATGTATATTTTTATGTTCTTTCCCATTGTAAAAAGCTCTTAAGTCAATAAAATTTAATTAATTGAAAATTTAAATATGTAAACTTTTAAAAATTAGATGATACTTAAGAGAAAATAAGATACAAAAGCCAATGGAAAACAGAAGCTTTATTGAATATACTGTAATTATGACACACACATAAAGAAATTTTGAAATTGATCATAATAAAGCTATTTTTCAATATATCAATATAAAAATCAAATAAAATTTCAAACCTGGTTTTCTTGTTATTATAGCATCTGTAAACACTAACAATTCAGCATACTGTAAAATAAATCATTTATTGTATTAGTTATTTATTTATTTTATATATAACACAATAATAATAATTTTTATAAAATAAAAATGTTAAATTTTAAAAAATTAATTAGATATTTATTAATTGTTAATAAAGCAATTAGAAGCATATGCAGCAACTTAGTAAATTTTGTTTGTAACCTCAGTTGGCAACAAGCCAGCGAGGAGCAGGAGCCTGGCAACAGGCCCTAGAAGAAAGCCACGTTGGCACAAGAGTCCAACCAGACCAGTTGATGTATATATGCTGTGTAATAAATTCAATCTCATCAGGGAGTCAGATTCCTGTCTTGATTATTATAAACACATAATCACCACACATATATAAGTATTTCATTAAGAAAATATATACAGGGTTAACTCATACTTCAGATTTACTTCATTTGAGAAGGCCATTTGAACTCTGAATTGTTTGAAGTCCAAAGCAGTTTTTCCCATTAAAAATAATGGAAAGCAAATTAATCCATTCCCAGACCCTAATACGATACCCATTTCCATAAACTTAAAAAGTAAATATACATAATTTAAAATAAAAATATCACAATTAAATGTCCTAATAATAAATTAAAACATAAAAACAATAAATATAATACATAAATAATGTATAACAAAATGAAAATTGCATTAACTGATTTCACACCATCAACTTTGGCATCTTAAATATGGCTGCCTGATCTACCACATGTGTACTGATTTCATGCTTTGTGTTAAGTTCCTTTTTCATCTTAGCTTTTTTCAAGCCTTCTTCTTACTAGTTAGATTTTGTTGCTTCTGCACATTTCTCCAATGCCATGATTAATAATTAAAGGTTATATTTGGTTGAATAAAGTTTTTGCTTATTTTTAACAATTGTTAATACTTAACATACACGTGTGATTTAATTTTAACAGTTGTGAATTTTAACACATTATTACTAATTTGAGATTATATTCTTTCTTCAGAGGTTTTTTTTATGCTTAGAGTGCATTTTTCATTGTGTGCAGTTTGAACTTTGAAGCAACATTTGATCTCTGAAATGAATTTTTCTCAAATTTATCACTCAAATTCTGAAGTGAATGAAGTATGAGGATGTACCACTGTATATGTTTATATTTTTTCACTTTTAATGAAAATGTATCTGTAGTATAAATATTTATTGACTTTTGTAGCAAATATAAATATAAAATACAATATATTTTCAAACAAATAAAATTCTACTATGAAAGGATTACTATTTATTAATCTAATTGAAAATGTAAACCTTAAATTAAAATTTTTAACATTATAAAATTCACACTTGATCTGAAACAAGCTAAGCATTTTATTTGAATTTAACATACATTATATCTATGGAACTATTCAGATATCATGTTTACCTCAAAAGTCCTATTTGTATCAATTCCATAAGTTGAAGATGGGAAATAGGCTATTTCAGTTGGTTTTCCTTCTTGAGAATACCATGTAAAACTATGAGTACCATTTATATCAACATCAAAACTATTCATTTTTTCCAAAACCTAAAATTTAAAATTTCATATTTTAAAAATTATGTTGAATTGTTTCATAAATAAAATATTTTTATTAGTTTGAAAATTTATATACAAATATAATGTATTTAGTTAAATCTGCCAAAAATATTCCAGTTCAAAAAAATTTGATAATGATATTTTATAATTCTCCAACTAAAACAAAAACTAAAGTGATACAATGCAAAATAATCTATAAAAAAGATAAAATAAAATTAGTATAAATATTGATTCTTTTTTTTTCTAATGCACAATAATAAAATGCAAAGAAAACTATAATGTCAATTAAGTCAATTATTTAACACAAGTTTCAATTGATAATTTAGTATAAAAAAAAAAGTTTAAATTATCATATATATGATAATTTAAATTACACTCATTTAATTTATAGAAAATTAACTGTAATTGTTACAGAAAAAGACAAGTTTATATATAAGAATATTATAAACATATTTAATTTGTTTTATTTTCAGAAAATTCTGAACCAGACATGGGCAACCTTTCTGTAATAACAAACCATATGACTCTGTTTTGACATGATATTGAACTGAACATCCAGTGTTACATAAATTTTACAAAAAGAAACTGAAGATTTGTAAAAAAAATGTGAATTCCATGAATAATTAATTTTCAAATTTGTTACTTATAGCTTTATGATATTTTGCATTGAATACCTATATTTATTGTAAATTACTTATGATGTAAATATGTTTAAACATCTTAATAATTTAGACCATAGAAACAATTAGAGGAGCCTCAGCTTGCTCATGCTTAAAAAATTTTCTGATAACAGAATGTGCTCAAAATGTTTAAATTTGCATATTATTATTTGTATTTTATTTTTATTTATATAGTCTCAGAAATATTAAAAAATTTTCAATATATTATATATTGAAAATTTATATAAGGATGTAGAGAATGAAACAATTTAAATACAGAGAATTTATCTTCATTGAATAATTTTCAAACTTTATCATATATAAATATGTGCATTAACAGGTTACAGTTTTAATATTTATATAATTGTTTTTTTATCAATATTATTTTTAATTTTATTAATATTTATTTTTCATATTTTTCATTAATAAACTGTTTAAATTTTGGCTTATTCTTGATACATTTACTATTCATATGTAAACGTCTGTTGCAAGTTTTTGCTTAATTTTGTAATAAAGAATTGTTTTTTGATTACACTTTTAGAATTATATTCTACATATAACAAATATATAATGATCTACTCAATATTAAGTTTTTATTAAGTATTAAAAACTGTTAAAAATCTTACATTCACATAATTTAATTCATTTCCAGTTTGCATATCATAAAGAGTTTTGTCAACTGCAGCCAATCCAACATATGATCCAGGTCTACCTCTTATTACAACTTCTATTGTCTCTCCTGTTTTATCCTTTTTATTATTCAATGTTACTGTAAACTACATTAAAATATTATCACTAACTCCATATTATTATTATTATATATTTTATAGTTTATAAAACACTATATATTAGTATACTGTATTTCAGTAAATTATTAAATATTTATTTTATAAAAATGTTATACACAATTTTAATCAAGTTTCATTTAATTTATTTCATTTTTTAATTAATTAATGCATAATTATACTTAAAATATACATATAATGATAGTAATCAATTATAAAATAAATAAAACTTTAAAAAACCAGTACAAATTATAACATGCTTTCATTGGGATCAAGATAAAAAAGGTTAACTGGAATCAGGGATATCAACTGTGTTGATTCTCCTGATAGGAGTGGAATGCCATAAAGTAGTAAGGCTTTAACTAGAATGTCTTCTTGGTCTCCAAGAAAACAGACAACTTAAACTTATCTAATTTTCCTTGCTGTTATATATAGCAGAAGGAAGTATAGTGATTGGTCAAAAATATGATCCCCTCCCCAATAATTTTATATTTTTGGACTCAGAGAACCTTGAAAAGTTGAAAAATGCAAAAAATTTTGGGGTTTTTTTGTATATATGGATGGGGGCATATATATGTGAGGGCACAATTTTGTTCACCCTCTTTGAAGCTTAATAACTTCTGCGCTTTTTGTCAAAAATTTCTGAAATTTTGCAAAGAGATTTGTGTATTAGGGAGATTAATGCTATTAAATTTTGGTGGTTAAAGGTCAAGAGGTTGGGGAGATAAACAGGGGTGTGTGTCATATCTCAAGTAGGGTTAGACTTAATAAAGATCTTACTCCTTATTAGTATTTTACATATTTTTTTTATAAAACTCAATCTCTATCTTCAAAATTAAGCTTTTTGCTATTTTATAATTATTAATAATATAAAAAGTTTTTAAATAAAATATAACAGATAATGCCACATGCAATTTTAAATGTTGTAGCTGGGAAAATTACACAACCCATTGCTGGATTTTTTCTCAATAGCATTTCTTGACTTTTTGTTTTGTGTACAAGTTTAATAAAATGTATCAACTTATTTATAATCTATTTCTTAAAAATTTATTAAACATGTCAACAATTTTTTTTATTTTATCTGAATTGATCTTATGTATTATTTTAAACAATACAAATATAAAATTATGAAACACTAAATCTTTATTTCTGAATATAAAATCAGAGAAACTATCTAAAATCTAATAAACTTTCTAAAAATATTAGCTCTTTCTGCCTTGTGGGCATTAAGAGGGCCTTTTTTCTGAATCCACAACTCTGGGAACAACTCTGTGTTGAAAGACAGGGCATGATATAGCTAGTGTGAGGTTCCAAACAAGGTTCGAAATCATGAAAACTGCATTGTTTATATAAAAATTCCTGAGATGAAACTAAAACGAGAGAGTGGAAAAAAACTGTAGTTGTCAAAACAAACACGATGTGGAGATAAACAAGGAGTATTGGGGACTCACACATTTAATAGATCATAGATATATGTTGACCTGGAGAGATGAAACTTTGATAGAATGTTTGTAAACTTTCAATCTAAATTAGAAAATTGGAAAAAGGGGAAGCATTGATGGTCAAAGGACATCATGTTAGCTTGTTTCAATTCAAAAACGTCAGAGAAGAGGCAATAATAGAGTAAAATATGAGTGCAGGTTTCATAATTTCATCAACATCTCCCGGTCAGAGTCAAATAAACTCTTTGAAATGGACCTTTCTCGCAACCTGAACCAGTCTTGGTTTTCACCTGGAGACAGGGGGAAAAACCAATCAGAAAGCAAGACAAGGGAACTAGAACCAATCAAAGGTGAGATTCAAGGAAGAAAAGATATAAAAACCCTGAATCTCAAGGTTGAGATGCCGATTTTCGCATCTCAACCTTGAGATTCAGGATACAAACTACACAGATTAGTCATGTAATCATGACTAATCTGTGTAGTTTGTATCCCGCAACGGAACTTTGACATTGTTTCCCCATTTCAACGAGCACCATCCCAGCGATGGACTACCTCATCATCATCCTCCTCCTCCTCTCTGCCCCAGGCCATCTCAAACCAACTAGAACCATCACTGGACATCACAAAATCTCCAAACAGTGAGCTGATGAGCAAACTCTGTTATTTTGGACAGTGCAAAATATTTGGAATATCCTTTTGACATTGAATTATCTGTCAATATTCATGTAAGCAATAATTTTCTCTAATAAATGAGTTTTGTTGTAAGGACATGTGATATCTTTGCCTTCGGCACCATCATCCACATACAATCAGCACCTAGGCTTTTCCTGGCGTGGGATTTACTGATTTTCCCCTAAAAGTTGGTGAAACTTACACCAGTACAGACTGCCCATGAAAAATTCCTGGGGTTTTTCAAACATCCAAATTTGATCCCAGACTCATCAGAGCAGTAGCATTAACCATCTCAGTCATCCGGCTGTCAATCTAATAAGCTTAAATGATTATTTATGAAGATTAATTTCTAAGATAAATAGACCAAATATATATTTAATAAAAATCCTGCAATTAAAAATCATCATAAAAGAAGGACTTAAATAAATTTGTTAAGTCCCTCTATTTACAAAATAAACAATTAACACAAATTTTAAAAAATGTATATATAAAAAGTTCATATTAGAACTTTATAATATATCTTACATTATTTCTTGATATTCCATTCACAGGAAATGTTAAACTATCAGCTACAACTTCACCATCTCTGACAATACTATAAACTAAAATTGTGGCTGTTGGTGCCATTTCTGGTGATAATGCAACTGCAAATGTCATTATAGTGTAAGTCATACTCTTCTGACCAGTTAATAATATTACTCCCTTGGATAAAATCTGAAGAATAAATGCTAACATTAATAATAATTACTATTTATTTATATTACTTTAATTATAAAATAATTTCTATGGTATATTTTAAATGACATTTTTTAATTCATTATGCTAAATATAAGAAAATATACTTACCACATAATATATTTTTTCCACATAATAATCAGATCTCACATGAAAAATGATATATTGTCCAACCTATAAATTAATATTAAAACAAAATATGATAATTATAAATATACAACTACATAAATTCTAAAAATAAATAGATAAATTAAAATTAAAGCCCTGTTATATTAAATCATTATATTATTTTCTGCTGTCAAGTCTTTTTTTTCCTTTTAATTTTGTTTATAAAGTATAGTTCTGTTGATTCTTAATAAGAAAAATTTATGTATTGAAAAAATTACCGTTTATCTTATTTTTAATTAATTATAATTATTAATTTATATAATGTTTATAAAGTTAGGAAATTTAATTATAATTTCATAACATTATAATGATCACACATATGATTCCTAACTTAATGATCACTATAAATAGGAATTATAGTAATTATAGTGATCATTATAATTAAATAGGAAAAATTAAATAATACCAATAAAAACCAATCACAAAATGAAATATGTTACATTTTAATTGATGTAAGTAAATATGCACATAGAGAAATGTTTCAATATTTACACAAATGGAAAAGATTTTGAATATTTGAATAAAAGAATAAAAATATTATGAAAACAGGACTTTTGATAACTATCATTTGCAAAAAACTAAAATGATTATACTTAACTAATTGGAAATTTGAGGAATGATAATGCTGTAATGATCATTAAAAATTTAGCAGTATATGTAAAAGAAAAATATATTTTACAAATTTCTTTACTCACTCTAAGAAAATATTCAATTAACAATTATCAGCATTCTATTTGATAATTGTTACTTGATAAGCTAAAATTTTAGTTACAAAACAAAAAATAGCTGTATTGCTATAGAAAATATATCTATATATATGTTCATAATGAAAATATAAACTGATGAGAAGGCATTTTTGAAATGTTCTGTTGAAAACTTATTAAGAATATTTATTTTGTAACTTAAAAGTAAATACTTTATATACCTCTGTAATCAAAAGAGATTGGGAATGATTCAACAAAATGCAAGATGCAAATTTATTCATCAAATTTTATTTCTTCCTGTTCAAAGTAACCCACTCCCATTACAACGCACTAATGCCAATGTTTGTTCCAATCAGAGCTGTGGAGTCGTGTAAAAATCTACTGACTCCAACTCCGACTACAACTTTTCCTTATCATCCGACTCTGACTTTTCCTTATCATCCGACTCCGACTCAGGCTAAAACATCAAAACTCCACGACTCCGACTCCAACTCCACAGCTCTGGTTCCAATCCTCTAAACATGCTTTAAAGACAATTTTTGTGAAACCCCTTCAGGCCTCACAGTGAATTTTGTTTTATGGCATCAACTGACTAAAAATGATGACATGAAGTGGAAATTTTAGTTGAGGAAACAGGAAAATGTCCCACAGTACCAGATGAATACAGAGCTTGCAAAATCATATTTGTTGAATTTTTGACCAAAAATTCATGAACAACAAGAGCATTGTGAGCAGCTACATTATAGTTCATTCACAAGTAATATAGTTCATTCTTATAATACTTAAGAATACTATAATATCATATTATATCAATATCTTTTTATAATTAGTTAAGTGATTAGGCTGCAATTGTGAGGCCCTCACTAAAATTTGTGTTCAAATTATTTTTTTAAAGAAAAAAATAGAAGCTAGAAAAAAGTTTTTTTTTGTTTGAAAATATGAACTTTTAAAACAATAGAAGAATGTAAGTCCTAAGATTGACCATCTCCAGTTGGGGATGGAATTAAACTTCAATTTTGACCTCTCCCATGATCTAAGTTGAGATCTTGTTACACATAGTAACGAGTGATCAACCACTTGGAAAATGAGAACGAGGAAAAGCAACCAATCAGAATGAGCTATTAAGGACAGAAACTAATAAAAACCTGGGGATTCAAGGGCACGACTGCTTCTTCTCCCGAAAATTCCAAGTGTCAAACCAATTGTTGTGAGTGTGTCTCATGCTAATCTTTGTCTCTGTCTCCCATCCTTGGATCAACATCTTCCCATCACCAGAAGTCGACCGCATCATTCTGGAGTCATCAACATGTTGAGGGAACCAGGGACACGCTTCCTTTTGGGATGATCTTAAAAAGGAGCAGAAGACCCAGAGGCTGCTGCCAACTTAGAACTTCCAAGATCATAGAAATCTTGTAAGCTTCTTTCGTGTCAAATACGATTTCTTGTAACTGTAGAGTCTGTCTTGGTACTGATTGCACCCACATGCCACCCTTTTAGCAATTCCTCAACTCTCTCAACATGTCTGCCCCCATTGGCAACCTTATACAACCCTATACAATTGGAAAAAAATATAGACCTATAAATTCCCACTGTCATCCATCCATCCATCTGTCTTTCCTTAATCTTGAGAATGGAGTTAGATAGATGAAATTTGAGACCTGATCTGGAAACTGTAGGGGCAGGAGGCCCCGATTAACTACATACGAACTTCCTATGCAAACCAAAAGTCACATTATTTCAATTCAAAAATTTTTCCCTGAAAAATGTTAAATAGATGACTAGAATGACTCTATTGTTAAAGGAAAGTATGATGTACAGGGGCAAGCAACTATTAATTTGAGATGAAGAGCATATATTTTAAATTAAATAAATTAAAAATGCATAATAAACAAGCAATTATTTATTGTGATGATATCACAATAAATTTGTATTGTAATTCTCTGTTATGCAAATTAAATTAATAGAAACTTATGTATCTTATGTAGCAAACCAATTGTTAAACTTTTATTGTTGATAAATATAAAAATTAAATTTTAAATCTATAATAGGTTTTTCAATTCAAAAAAATATCTTATGTGAGACAAGTTAATTCTTCTTTAAAAGTTATGAGTTAAATGTCTATCAATGAATGAAACAAATTTTTTTCCAATAAATTATTAAATAAAATAAGATTATTCACATATATCAGAATGCAACATACAAGGTCTGTTCAAAAAGTATCGGACCTTTGGTCGGCAAAAATAAATTTATTGACTTTGAGGAACAAAACCCTAATCCCCTTCAAAGTAGTCTCCTTGGTAATGTATACACTTCTCCCAGCGTTTCTGCCATTGCTGGAAACACTGCTGGAACGCATCTTTTGGAATGGTTATCAGCCGGTCCGTCGCATTTCGCACGATGTCTTCTCTCGACTAAATTTGGGTTCCTTTTAGCGGCATTTTCAGCTTGAGAAATAGCCAAAGGTCACACGGAGCCATGTGGAGAGAATACGGAGCGTGACGAACCACAGGAGTATTGTGTTTGGCGACGAAAGCCCGAATCAGATGCGCAGAATGGGCGGATGCGTTATCACGATGGAGCTGCCAAGTTTTGATCGACCACAGATCCCATCGTTTGCATCGCACTGTATCGGAAAGACGACGAAGGACCTCCTGGTAGTACTCCTTTGCGATGGTTTGGCCTTGTGGTGCGTACTCACGACACACCACCCCACGAGAGTCGAAAAAACTGTCAACATGACCTCTGATATTGCTGCGGACCTGCCGCGCTTTTTTTGGCCTCGAGGATCGTCCCCGAAAGCCCGCTGAATCTTGCGAATGGTTTACACTCGGGTATCGCCAAGGTTTTTGGCAAAATTTGATGTAATCTCGCTGCTCACGTTGTTCAGTCATTTTCCAGCTTAGTGGAATCCGACGAGAGCGCACTACATGACCTCACTCATACGCCGATTGCCAACGACTGACGTTTTCTGCAGGCGGGAAAAAATTCAGGGCTGTGCATGACTGTCCCCTCCACAACTCCACTGAAGGAGGCCTGTCTCGCATCATTGGTTTACGCGGAAAAATATAAGGTCCGATACTTTTTGAACAGACCTTGTATACATCTATGTGTAAATATTTTACTGAGATAACATATTGCATTACATGTATACAGTACTAAAGCATAATATATATTTTATTTTATTTTATGCAGGAAAACTTACCTTTGCTGCTTTTGTGCTAGTTGTTATTTGTAGTTGATTATTTGACTCAGAATATGTTGAATATACTTTTAATTCTGTTTCTGCTGATTCTCGATCATCAAAAAATATTGCCTAATTTAATCATAAAAAATTATATACTGTAATCTTTTTTGTTACACAAATCACACATTATTATTTATAACTTACTTGAAGAGTCAGTGATTGAACATCATACAATTCTCTTTTATTTCTTATCAAAGATTCTAGAGATACAGTTACTTCCCATATTCCTTCCTGAACTTTGGTAATTTGATCTAAAAGTCTTAACTTCCTTCTTACACCATCACGCATTTCAACAGTAGGACTAATTTCTAATTTATAATCAGTCAACTGCCATTTTGATAAAGGTGTTCCATCATGATTTGATACAGCAAGCTAACAAATATATTATTATTATTATTTTTTAATTCTTAAATATATAACTTTTTAAATATAATCTCAAATAAAGCTCAACTGATATAATAATATGTACTTACGTAAGCTTTAAAAGGCATCAATGGTTTAAAAATTTGAGGAGTAGATCCCAGAAATTTTAATTTTATGTAGGAACTAAATATAAGTGTTTGAGAAAATCCAGTTTCAATCATGTTAAGAAATCTTTCTCCAACATATGCTGTCACAGTTATTTTTGACTTATCTAATTTTGGTACATATTTTTCAAATTCCATCATTGAAAATCGAAAATCCATGTAACCATCAAACTATTAAAATAAATTTTAGTTTAATTATATGAATGAATAACTGTTACTTTTGATAGTAGCATAATAAAACGTTTAAATAGAATTTCCGCCGGTGCTCTCTGGAATTGTCCGTTTTATGGAGGGTTGTGTTTTAATTAACTCTTCTATAGAATTGCAGAGCAATGTTGCTTTGTCGCAGTCACTTTCCAGACAATGAAAGTAAAGAAATAATAATTTAATAAAGAAAAAATTACAGCATGATTTATGATTAAAATTTAGTTAGAGTTTTAGTTTTCAGTGTCTTCTATTTCCGCGTTACACAGGTTTTCGATCTATAACGTGAACTTTCGAAAAGGAACGATTTGCTAGTCAGGTTTCTGTTTTATAAAGGGTCCGTTTTAAACAGGTTTTATTTTATAATAATAAAATAAATAAAATGAAAATTCCAAATAAATTTATGAAGCTAAATCCAGCTTTTATTTATGCATTTAATAATAATTAAATATTGCTTTATTCTTAAAACTTACATATAACAATAAAGAATTTTATATTACACATTTAATGTAATTTTAAGGCATTATATTAAAGTAAAAATTTATTTAAAAAATTAAACGGAAANTAACATATATAAATTAAAAAAATATACTTTATACAAGTATTAAGTAACATTACTAATATATAATTTTTTCAGATTTTTTTCATGAATACTTCAGTAAACTGCAAAATATACTCAACTAAATTATTAATTAATTTAGTTGAGTATATTATAAATTAATAATTATTCAAATTTCAGAAGTTTTAAAATTTTAACACAATACTATAATTCAGTTGACAAGTAATAAAATATTGAAAGTAACATTCTCCAAAAAATATGTTGCAGAATATTGGTTTCAATATTTTCTTACTTTTTCCTACTTGGCTTGATATTAATAATACTAACAAGAATGACAAATTCATCTGAATAGTAATATTATATGTAATACCATAATCAACATTTTGAATATTTTATTTATTTCCATATTAAATTTTATAAAGTAAGGTCTTGTTTTACATGGGACTGATATATGCAGATTTGCATTTTTGTAGATGTAAAATGGTTAAGTTAATCCTTGAATGCACAGGAGTATATTCTGACTATCAATACACATGTTGATTATTTTTATTATGAAAATCAGTACATATAACAAGAAAATAAGTAAAATGTTTTTCTGTTAATTGTAATTGGTTGCATAAGAGTCTAGACAATCTGGGGTGGAGCACAGTTTACATGGAATTTTGTCTTATACAGTATCTGCTGACTCACTACACTTGCATAAAACAAGACAATACTGCACTTAAAATTTTTCATTTTATAACATTGCTTATTATTATACTGTAGATATAAACATAATAAATAGATTTAGGATAGACACCCAAAGAATGGCACTGTCATAAAAAGTTCAGTTTATCTACCTCATGAGTGTGCTCTAATGAGAAAAACATAATTTTTAATTACGTATTATTAATTTTTAAATCCTATCTCTCATGTAAATAATTTATTAGTTACCAAGATGAGTCTCCCATCAAAATATATATAAATACTGTCAGATGGAATTATACTTTTTTGTGTATAAGTTTTTCTATGTATGAATTTATAAGAAAAACTTCTTAAACAATATAACAGCATATAAAAAAACTTTAAAAATCAAGAATTTCAATAATTTCTTAATTTATTTTATTTTAATTCAGGAATATCTTGTGGGCTGATAAGCATTTCAGGCACATGCTCCTCTGCTATTGGCTACATAATAAAACATGAACATGAATTTATTGTTTGTTAAGCTTATTTGTGTATTGTTTTTATATGATTATCTTAATAAAATTAACACTTCTGATATAATATAATATTTTTTTGTAATTATTTGTGATAAAAAAAAGTGTTAGAATAAATGGATTTATAAACACCTTATATCTTGAGGAAAATTAACAGCTCTTATCCTGCATATTTAAAATACTCTTGCTACAGGTCCTCAAAAAGCTATTAAATTAGAATATATGGATTATATAAGTAAGTGATGGCCAACTTTACAATGGATGTGGACCAAAAATTAATAAGTATATCATCAGAGAGATTGAACTTCAAATTTAAGTCTTAAATGACTTTTTAGACATGAGAATAAGAAATGACTGAAATCATTATAATCAAAATATGCTTTCTTAGCAAAAAGTATAAACAAAATCATTTGAAAATATTCAGTTTATGTTATTTTTAATGATAACATTATGGTCATATTGGAGCATATGAAATTGGAACTATGGTTTCTGGTTTGAAGGCATACAGTTTTAACACAGATAGATGGATATGTACTACATAACATAAATGTACGTCACAAATGTAATATATAACACTCATTGTCATATTTAAATTTCTCAGCATGAAACCAAAACACAAAGACAGCAATATGTACAGTACACCATAATCTGTTCTGTGGTCTAGTGACCATTATCACACTTTAGGTGTCTCTTACCCTTAGGCTATGGAGTGTGGGTCTATGAACCAATTAGAACAGGGTACGGTTCACGTGATCAAAAGGGAGAAGGTTTTTATTCTTGGCTGGACTGTGAAAGAGTGTGGACATGTGTAGGAAGAAGTAAACTCCACCTGGCTCAACTTAGTGTTGACAAATAAAATTCCCATGAATATACATTGGAGAATGAAAGGTTGGACCCGTAATAGCTTTAGCCTGTATATATTTGCAATACCTTATCAAATGTGTATTAAAAATTTCATTTTGGTTTTATTCTTCACTTTGGTTTTGGCTTTATTCAGCAATTCATTTTTACTACTGTGTATGCAGCTTGTGTTTGGATGTATCATAAAAGTTCCTGAGAGCAAGAAACCTTCATTATTTCAGGGTCCATCACCACAGTTCTGATGATAATGAGATTTCATTTACGTCATATCTTTGTATCGCTTTGAATAACTTGCATATTCATGGATCTCTTATAGATACAGATTCATCTTGCTAGACATTGAATGATTACAACTATAGGATTTTAACTGTTTTTAAAGGTAGAGTTATATGATAAATGAAAGGATACTGCAGGGGCCATCAGAAATGGCCAGGATCTGACCCACAGACCACCTTATATAAATTTTATTCTTACAAAATTTAAACAATTTTCAGAAATGCTATGTAATAGTTGAATAATTTATTATTTAAAACTCATTCATACTCTTTGAGAATCATCCTTCACAAATAAAATAAACTGTTAGATTTTAAATCTGAACCTTAAAATTATATCTAACTATTAAAATTCAGAAAAATAAAAAATTTTTTTCAATAACTAATTTTACTTATTTTAAAAAATCTATTCTAGCTATTTTTTAAAGTTAGAATTAAGTTTGCTTTACAAATAATTTAGCATACTTACATAGGTAAATGTTTGTGTTACAGCTGGATATGATTTTTCAGCAAGACGATAATGAGGTTGAATAGGCTGTACTGTAGCTACTATAGTTAAATTTCCAGTTACAGGTACTCCACTTGTATAGCTTTTTAAAAAATATATTCCATATTATATTTCAATTAACAAATTAATAAATAAATTGTAAAAATTATTATTAAATAAAATGATTTTATTATCAGCTTACAGAATTATATAACAATTTACTTCAAAGAAAGTTATTTATATATATAAAATCAAACTTATATATATAAGTTTGATTTTAAAAAAAAAATATATATATATATACACATACACACACACAGTGTTTTCTTGATTCTAACGAGGTTTTTTTGGAATTTTCTGATCTCAAAAACTGAGAAACTGAGGTGTGCATTTAAACTGATGTTCACATTAAAGTCAACTTAATGCAGCCTCATTTGTGTCATTTGCTCTTCACTCTGCTTGGCAAATCATGTGCAGTACAATATCATACACACACACACACACACACAAATCTTTTAATGTCGTAACCAACGTTACATAACTGGTTCCGCAGTAAGCACAGCCAGTTTACAGATGTTTTAGGTATTGCAAATGTTATAGTTACATTTACAAAGTGTAAGAGTAATATGCATTATAGCGTAAAGTATTACAATGAGAGGTTGGTATATATAAGTTTACAATTAGTAGATTAAGATTCAATATCAGTGTATACACAGTACACATTCCTCCCACTACTTTGCTTTTAATTTTGGTTTTGGAATGATTTGGTAGACTTTTGAACTGCAGCAAGCCAAATGAATGATGTCCAGCAGACAAATCTCCTATAAAGGTTTAAGTAAAGAGTTATCCATTATATTGAAGAACATGTATTCAAATATTTCAGTATGATACTACATATCTGGTAAATTTCATGCTTGTGCATACCAACATGAAATCTCTCTAAAACTTTAATCATACGGTAATTTTGACTGGTTTTGTATTGGTCTACAGATCTTCTGTATCTGATAATGGAGTCATAGATAAAAACATTTGAAAATGAAGACATCGTGAAGCACTGTATACATGAAAATAAAATGCTTTTCAAAAAATACATTTATTATTGATTAAATGCATTAACTTTTTAAAGCTGTATTTTAAATATAAGGTGTGCATTGTATTTGCAAGCTAACTTTTTTTGGGTTTTAATATTTTGAAAATTGAGTATTCATTAGATTCAATATATAAATATTAGTGGAACCCCATTAATCTGGATTATAAAACACAATTCCTGTCTCAGAAAGATAAACATACGGAAAACCTATAGGCCTAAATGCAAAAAAATCAAACTTCTAATTACATTCTTGTCTGAGTAACAAGAATAGACTTTGCTTATTCTGAAACTGTGTCTTTGTTTATTTGTTTTTTTCTGTCACAACTAGGTGCATAGATAGACACTGGGCATCTTTAACATCACTCTTTATTCAGGAATATCTTGTGGGCTGATAAGCATTTCAGGCACATGCTCCTCTGCTATTGGCTACATAATAAAACATGAACATGAATTTATTGTTTGTAATCTAGCAAGTTATTATTCACTCAACACCCTAAAGACTCTATTGTTTTGCTAAGTTTCACTCATCTTCAAACATTTGTGAAATAAAGTAAACATCGTGAAAATGACATCTAGAGGAAAGAAAGTGGTTGTTATGTTGGAGAAGACTAGACATAAAATAAAAAAGTCTATAAGCTGTGTTATTTCTGTTGTTAATGCTTTTTCCAGATTATCCAGATTTTCATTCATTCATATCAGACTGGTCTCATTTGAGCCAGATAAACAGGTTCTACTCACTAGTGTAGTGAGGGGGCAAGGAGGTCAATCATGCCCTGGGCACCACTTGCAGAAGGGTGCCAAATGGTCTCCAAGACAAACAAGATTTGTTTCTGGAGGAGGGAGGGAGCACCAATAAAGTGTCGTGTCCTGGGTGCCAGTTATGTTCGCTATGCCACTGGTTCCACTTTTCAAATTAATTTTAAAATGAATTAACAATGCAATTAAGTATAATAATTGCTAAATCTTGAGAATTTATTGCAAATAAGACAAAAAATGAATTTAACAGTGTTATTTTTTGTAAAGAAATTACTAGATACTGTTATAAATAGTCATTAAATAATTTCTAAATTCCTAATAAAGCATATTTAATCTGATTTATACAGAAAAATCATAAATTTTATTTAGCTCATTTTTTTGACCAATTACAATACTTTCCCTCTGTTACACATATATCCCCTGCATAACACAGTAGCTAGATTCCAAAAGTTTGCAAAAGTATACTATTCTCTTTTTGTAATTAAGAGAAATATGTTAATTAAAGCAATCAATAATTAACTACCAATCACAATCAAAAGTATTGCATGTTAATATTAATTTTTTTTTTTCATTGCTAAACATCATTAAATGATGACTTTTTATTTGACAAAATATCAACAACATCTGAGCTTTCCTGAAAACCTTAATCTGAAGTATCAGCAATATCTTGATTTCTCTCTACTTTTTCATAAAATTTGATATTTTCATTTACTTTTCATTTGCTTAATTTTTAATCATCTTAGATCTTTAAGAATTTAGTCTTTTTATGTAATAACTTTCAGTTTAATCTATAAAAACAAAACACAGCAACAGTCTTTTGGATTCATTCAGAGCACTAACACAAACAACAGCAACACCTGGTTTATAGGAAAGCTACAATGAGAAGCTATGTTTAGGAAGAAAGAAATGGTACAATTAGTTGTCATTAAATAAAACTGGGCAAAAGGCCCAAAACAACATTGAAATTTTCAATATTCTAAAATCCATGGACATATATGAGAGAACATGCATGCTTGCTTGATTAAAAATATTGAATGATGTGTTTTCAATTAAAAATTGTGACATTTTCTATGGAGATGTTTCAATTTTTGAACCAGGTTATAGTGAAACCATGTGTATGGGAGATTTCCCCAATTTTCAAACCATATTAGAGCAAAACCATGTAATATAATTAGCATTATCATTATCTATTATGACCCATATAACATTGATCTTCTAACAATCAGTGTCATCATATAACATCAAGGTTTGCATAAACCAACCATTCACACTTGATCATACCACATACACATCATGAAAATCTCATATTATTTTTTTAAAGTTTTTTCAAAAAATTTCATCTATTAAATATGAATTACAACTGGACTTAATCAGTATTAAACAGTTACAAATATGCAAGAAAATTTAAAAAGAAGTTACTTTCCATTTACATGAAAATTTACTTACTTAGCCATAACTGAACCAGTAAGATAGCTTTCAGTATCTACTAAAAATGCTGGTGTTGTAACATTAACTTCATATTGTGTTTGATCTATAATAAAACATTAATAATTTGTTTAATTTTTTAGTAAAAAATATATTATTACTTAATTAAATTTTTATCACTATTAATTTAAATATTAAATTAATAATTACCATAATAAATAATTTAATATGTGAATTAATCAGTTAGTATATTATCTACAGTACATCATGTTAAATTCTACTGTTTATAATCACATTCTTTCATGATATTCATTATTCTATACTAGCATAAAATACAATTGTTTTATAAAGTGATTGTCTTCGACTAATGATAAGGGATGAAGATATTTCAAATGATATTAAGAAAGAAGATTTACATTTTTGTTTGTTTACATTTTTATGCAACATATTTGTATTTAAAATAAAATTAATAAAAAGTAAAACACTTGATATTTCACTTACAATATTCTTCCACAAGAAAATTGCATTCTTCAATTTGACCCTGAAAAATAATAAATAAAAATTCATTTATTTAATGTACTGTACATATTCATAACATTATCAGTACATATCATTATGATTCACAGTATATTAAGCAATTATCATAGATTTTAGAAAATTCAAATTCTTATTTTTGAGGAATGTTTTAGAAATAAATACCTGAGCAATGACTTGAATTGTCCAATTGCCATAAACAGGCTGTTCTGATAAAGCATAAGTTAATATTACTGCACCTATGTTTTAAAAATATAATCTATCAAATTATAATCTTTGATTTATTTATTAACTTTTAACATTTATTTTAATTAAGGTTTAATTATTATTTATTAAACTTACACCAAAACAGCAGTCTGTTAATCTGACACTTTTATATCTGACTATGGTTTGTTTATTAACATTGGCAACACAATTAGCTCAAAAATACTGTAAGCTATCTTGTCAACTTCAATAGTTATGTTTATTATTGCTTAGATATTTCTTAGATGAAAATCTAATATATAGCAAACTCCTGCTAACTCACACTTCACATAATTTGACAAATTTTTTCAAAACAGTAATTTAAAATTTCTTGACAATAGAAAAATTATAATTAATAATGTTTTTGATATCAGGAGTCTTTATGATACCATGCATTATATTACTGTAATCAGTAAGTTATTAAAGATTATATATTGCTGTATACTACAGTATTATGAAATTTTTGAGCTGATTTCCTATAATAATAAATTCAGCAGTATAATATCAGCTCAGTTAAACTTCTGTGTAGAAATGATTGTAATAAATTACTCTATTTACATATGTTCTTGTTTTTCATGTCATCAGAGAAAGCACCCCACTAACTTGTACTTTTGTAAACTTGGACAACATTCACACTCTATCAGTCTGAGTTAGTGGGAGTTTATTGTATTTATTTATCATACCTACATTGTTGAGTCAAATAATGATGTGCATTAAAAATGATTTTAAGCTTATGTAAAATAGAAAACAATAAATTTAAACACTGAATATAGAAATAGCCAAAAAGTAACCATCAAGAAATCATGGTAATTCAAAATGAATGATACAAAGTGTTTCAAATCATTAAAATGGTATTTAAAAGAAATTAAATTATAAATATATTACATAAATAAACATTGTTCTGATCAAAGTAAATCAATGTTTTGAATATAGTGTTATTTTCAGATCAATGATTAATTTATTTTCGTTTACAGTAGTGTTCAATAAAATTGCATCAATTCAAAAAACTGATATTTTCTTCATTTTTCTGCTCCTCATGTTTGTGAGCTGCAAGTAAACACATGTATTGCATCACATATAACATTTATGCAAAGTGGCAGATCCAAGGTGAGGGCTACAGAGGCCAAAAGTCCTCTCCACTGACACAATATTTTTAATTTTTGAGTTAGTGCCCTTTGGGTATTTCTGGATCTGCTATTGTTTATGCAGATGTATTAGATAAGTCAACTTTATCAATTATTACATCATTCTCTTTAGAAGGCAGAACAGGTGTATCTGCATTCAATGGTCAGTTTTGGCAGGGTTAGTTTGTATATGGAAATATGTAAAAGTAAATAAATAAAAATATGGCTGTTGTTTTGAGTAGAGAATGATTTATACACAACAGATATAAGACTACAGTGTCTCATTACTTGCCTAAGCTCTCCAAAATAAGCTTTGCAATCAAAACAAAATATGGCAAAAAAAAGTATATGTACACCAGCCTAGCACAGAGTTTTGAAGAGTTTTACATTTATTATCAGCAATAATCTATGTATTTATTGGGATGTTGGATCAATGACAATGAGTAAAAAATTTCATTAGAAATGGACGAAAATATTTGTATCATTAAATAATTTTATTCTTTTCAATGGTTTTGGTTTGTCTGTGTTTTCATTACATACAATCACTTTTAGAAGAAGTAAATAAATTCCTTATTGTCAGGTTTTGAGTGAATATAAAAATTAAAGTATATCTGTTGTGTACACTGTACTCATTTCTACTCTTAATTTTTGTAGTATGATATAAAATAATGTATATAGCTTGGGAGAAGGGAACAACTTGCTGGTACAAAAATATTAGGTAGATATATCCTTTTTGTTCCTTATGGATTGACCCCACGTTCTTCATATATGAACCTAAATTCTGTTAAGGAGAAGAGTTTAGTAACTGAGGATTTATTGCAATTAAGACTTAAAGATTAGGGTCTAAGAAAAAGCCTCTTTTGATAAAGAAAATGAAAAGGCAGCAGCTTCAATAGGCCAAAGAATATGCCAGGTGATCTGAAGAACAGTGGAAAAAGAATCATTTTTTAGATGCAGATTAAAATCATTTTGATTCAGATTTAGAATGAAAAATTGTCCTTTGGGACTTTTCTGCTTATTTGTAAAAATAAATACATAAAATTTAATCTTCATGGCTCAGATAACAAAGTGTATGTTTGGAGATGGAAAGATGAAAAATTTTCCTCCTGATTATGTCATCCTGTAAGTCAGATTGTTTATAGTTATATTTATTACCAAGAAGTTAGCCGTTACATTTGTAAAGAATTCAGCAAATGCACAAATATGTAGGAACAGCCTGAAGTCATATGCCACCTATAACTTTTGATCACTTTGAAGAGACTGGTAAGTGCATCTTTCAAGATGATTTAATTTTATGCCACAGAGAAAAAATGGTAACTACTGCTAAACTTTTTTACAAGTAGTTCAGATTTGATGGCACATTAAAATTGAAAAAATACAATAGTATGAAATAAATTTCTACATTACAAAGTTTAAAAAATGAGGCAAAGAAATCAGAATTGTAATTACATCATCTTTATTTTTGATTTTGATAGTAAAAGAGAAAAAGTAATGTTGTTGTATTTAAACAAAATGAAACATTGTGCAGTAAAGCTAAGGACTTATAAATTTAAATGTATATAATTATTTTTAATTGTCAAAATTCCTTCTACAGGCTTAGTAATGTGAAGATGAATGAGCTTATAGCTTATTAGAATGACAATTATTGCATCACATGCCTTGACCATCAAAGTTCTCTGAAATGATGTTACATACTTAGGGGGATAATTAAAGGAAAGTAATCTGTTTTTAAGATACAAATTCAAATAGGGATGTATAATAATATCAATTAAAGCATAGACTAAATGTACAGAAAATGAGTAGAAAAGAATTGAGAGTGAAGTATGCTTTTATATGTCTTTGCTGATAAATCACAATAAGAGAAGAATGTCTATGACACAAAAAGCATTTTTCAAATTTTTTAAAAAGGCTCTTAGTGACTTTAGACCACAGGTTCTCGAACTTATTTTGACCACCGCCCACTTTGAGATTAAAAAAAATCTAGTACCCCCATATTTTTTAACTTACCTTTTTACATTACCATCTGTTGCATATCTTATAAACAGTTATTGCAAATATAATGTTTAAACATGCATTATTATATGGATAGGATAGATAGGGTGTGACCCATATCCTATTTCTGAGATCAAAGAATGTTTCAAAGAGAAGAAATAAAACCCATATTTAATCACTGAGCCTTCTACTGCCCCTGTGAAAGCCTCCAGTGCCCACAAGGGGGCATTATCGCCCACTTTGAAAAAGGATGCTTTAGACAAAGAAAAAGCTGATTGATGAGTTTATAATTGTGAATTACATTCAGCATATAACCTTCCCTATTACATCTCCTGCACTACTTTCAAATTGCCTTTTAAGTAAAGATAACCTGCAGATTATCCACATAAAATTACAATAGTTAGTTAAGGCAACATATTTAAAATAATTTATATAATAATATATTCAAAATATCTTGGAAGTTCAGAAAAAAGATATTTTACAAAACATATAGTCTACACTTTTTAAAAACTTTCAAATAAACTTACCATAATTGGTCTGCCTTGATAGCCACCTACGCACAATATTTCTTCTTGGATCTAACATATAAACATCTACAGCTTCAGGAAATGCTTTCAGATTAGTTGTAATAGGAATAGCCCTAAATTGAACTAGAAATAACATAAAAATAATTTTAACATTTGTGAATGTCACATATAAAAATGAGTTATTCTAATGAAGAGATTTGAGTTTTACCTGTTTGACCCTGCTTATAAATTGGACGATCTGTTTGAATGAAAATAGTCATAAATCTTTGATGAAATTGTAAATATGATTCATTTACAAATAGTGCACCACCAAGAAAACTATTGCTGTTTCCTTCTATTCGAAGTTTATAAATACCAGGAACAGTTGTTGTTGGTATCTAAAAATATTTTAAAATATTTGCCTCTTAGAATTAAATATACAATTAAATAGATTAAATAAATGTCTTGAGTTTAAAATTTAAAATTCAAATAATAATTGAGATAATCTTCTAAAACAGCATATTAAAGAGAATTATTAAATTCAAATTAAATAACACTTTCTTTATAAAAAAAAAAACAGAAGAGCATAATGTGTTAATGTGTGTCAAGATGTTAATATTATTTGAGTAAACAATTCAGGAACATTTTTGTTATCTGTAAGGGAATGATAAATTCATTATGTGGATCTGGATGAATGATAATTCATTTACTTAAAATATAAAATAAAACTTCATTTAATTTTATTTGTATAACCTGAGTATGTAAGATTAGATATATGACAATAGTATCTAGAATTTTATGCAACAACAGAGTTGATGGGCATCTTGGCATTCTTTTGGCATAAACAATATTTGTCTTGTATAAATATAGATTTAGTTTGTATTGTAGCAATCTAGTACAATTTGTTAAGTTTCAGTTTAGTTCTTGATCAAGTTTAAAACATTGTTCTTAGTTCAATTCTGGTCAAGGTTGACAAGACGGTGGGAAAGACGGCTATGGTCGTGGTGTCTTGACTTGTACATGAATTTGTATTATAAACCTGGAAAGACCTGGCAGAATTTCTATAATAAAATCTATAAATAATGTTCTTAAGAGCAGTGGCTCTTAGATTTGAAAAAAAATCTGTTAATTTAATTACATATAAAAAGCATATAATTACATATATGTCCATACATATGACATATGGACCAGAAATTTTGTCTGTTAAATTCAAAGTCCATTAAACTGAAGTCTGTTAAATTGACATTTTACTGTATTTAATAAAATAGGACTTAAAATATATACATAATCATTACACATAATCCAGGCCCATAATGGAAGAATTTAAACCCATCTACATATTTTATATAAATGTGTAGATGGGACTTAAATTCCTAGGTATTCTAACAATAACTGAGTGGATAAAACCATTAAACAATGGTAGTTGGTACCAAGTTTGCACCTGGCCAATGGACTGACCATGTGAGGTTTCTTGAATTTTTTTACATATCTAAATAAGAACATTTCCCCATAGAAAGTCCTCCTGGCAGGCATTCTCCTTGGCAGGTTGCCCTTTTGTTGATTTGCATTATCCATAAAATTAGCCAACTAAATTCCTAGTCCAATATAATTGTTTTCAAGCATTATTCACTATGTAAATGTGAGAATCCGGACTTCAACATAAACAATTTAATGTTGTAACATCAACTTTGTCAACTATCTTTCATCTTTCACACCTGGGAATATATCTCCTTTTAAGTTCTAAGCATGGATAAAGATGCTTTCACATGACCTTCCAACCTGCTGTCCCAATTTCATCATTTTAGTATAATACCAAACGGGCAGTCAGGGAGTCATCACCAGTTCATCTAGTTAATCCTAGATGGACTGGTCACTAAAATTTTCCTGTGTCAGTGCCAATCGTACTCTATCAGATTTTCACGTTACCATCAACTGTGCCTAGAGGGATTTTCCCGGATCAATCCAGAACACTCTTGATCCAAACCTGTCCTGAACAATCCGAATCCAGACAACCTCAAGATCCTAGACCTCCAAGTCCTCATGAAATCCAAATCAAGAAACATCACCATCAATGCAGGTATTTCCCTACTTGCAAACAATTGTAAACTCTCTCTCTCTCTCTCACGACTGCTAGATAGATAGGCTAAGTCAGTATATCACAATATATATCTTGTATATTGTATCATGTACTCCTTTTCGTTGGAATTAAACGGTTATTTAGTTGTTAACTTTAGTGCCTGAGTACTTTACTTCCATTGGGCTGTCTTCCATCTCCATCCAGAACCTGATCACTTACACGGCTGTTCGTGTGACCCACTTTTTAACCCAAACTAAACTTGCTGTTGTAGTTTCCATGTCAACACAGTGGTGTCAGTCCTGACAAGGCATCAAAGAGGTGCCGACCCTCCGGTCACAAAAGCATATGCAAATAGTAACCATATGTTGACACTTCTACGAGGGCTGTTCGGAAAGTTCGTGGCCTTGCCTATATGCGGCGCTGCGATCAATTTAATTTTTGGCGAGAATAATTCAGCCATCTTTGCTAAAGATACGATACCAATTTCCGCTTGATTTGTCAAAAAGTTTTGCCACGACAGCTTAGCAGATAGTCAGTGTGCACATGCTTTGTCAAAAATGGAGAAGACAGAGACTCGTGCGGTCATAAAATACCTGACGAAAAAAGGGTTGACCCTATCTCAAATCAAAGCTGACATGGATGAAGTTTTAGGAGAGTCTGCTCCTTCGTACACCACTGTGAAAAAATGGACAGCCCTTTTTAAATCTGGCAGAG